TATCGTTACATTATTCAAGAAAAGAATTAATTGACTAGAGATAATTGGGCCGAATTAGTGAAGTATTTACTATTTAGTGGCTCAATCCCTCGGTGCAATAATTAGCCTCACCTTTAAACAAGCAAGTCCACTATAAAAGCTCATCCCCTTGATGTACATTTCAGAAATCGGTTGAGATGGGAATAGAAGCTCAAGATTAATTTTAAAGGTTTTCAACTTTTTTTCCTCTTTTTTTTGCATTAGTGTTAAATGCTCGATGCATTTCAACAAAAGTTTACCCTAATTGCATTTTCACAAATGTAATGCTACTAACATACTTTTGGTGTTGCTGGGGATGTTACACCGCAAATCACGTATACATAGTATAGGCTTTTAAAACTACAATAGTCATGTTTGATTACATATCTGAAAATGAATTGAAACCGGTGAAATCAAAATCACCTAATTTTTTAACTGTGTATTTTTTGATGAGGTAAATCAATATCCATATATATATATATATATATATATATATATATATATATATATATATATATATATATATATATATATATTCTATATTTCTATACATATATAAACAGAAAAGTACGTGGGGAGGGAATTTGGGCGAGAATACCGTAGCTTTTAGGAGCAAAATAGTTTTAATTAAAGTTTTCTCGAGTGAATTGAATGATGATATTATGCTAGCAAGTAGCAACAAGATAATTACAGACTGAGCAGTTCATTTAATTTGTTGTATTATCGGAGTACAAGGTATTCAATTACTTTTAGACATATCATCAATGAATATATATGATGCTATCAAGAAAAGTATCGGAAGGGGAACAGTTTACTAAGGCAGGAGAATAATTTGGTGTAATAATTCTTTGGAAAGTGCAATAAGCTATTGAAGTAAATATGTGTCATTTGAGCTTTCTATTGCCGCAATTATTGGAGTCCATCGCTGTAATATACGAAGTGTAGTACAAGAGTGCCTTATAAATTGTAAAGACCATTAATTCGCATGACTGAGGGAGTCAGAGAATTTTTTATAAGTTGACCGAACTGCATGTTGGTGCAAGCCATTTCTTTCGTCTGCCGCATTGATATTAGAATCTTTATGTAGTGCAATCTTTAATTCTTTACTCTTTCAGGTTAATCGATCAAATCCTTTTTACAGTAATAAAGAAATACATATATTGCACTTGAATTTGTATTCTTACTTGGGAATTTTTCCAACTAAAATGTTTGTTTTCATACGACTCTTATCAACTGTGTAACGACTTAAGTTTATTATTATTGACTGCTACCTGTGGTTCAAAATATTGATACTGCGTATGAACGTTTATTGATATTAGGTTGAATGAATTTGATATGAACGTTTTTATAATCAAGTTTATTATTTACTGCTGCCGAACAACAAGGCAACAACACCTGTCGAGCTAAATATGATACGTAGTACTTTAATTCGTAAATCATTCAGACTAATGAGGCTAATTGAGTTTTAGTGTTTTTTTTCTCCTAGGTAATTCGTCCAAAAATACACCTGTGTAAATGGGTCTATCATGGATATATAGTTTCAATCACAAAAAAATGGATATATAGTTTCAAGTATTCAAATTATTTGTAAAAAAGACAGCAACACTTTTGTTGGCAATAAACTTATATTATATATAAGAAATTAAATTCAATTTGCGGAAAAAACCAGGACTAAAATTGTCGTTTATGTGAAACAGTAAAACTCCAATAGCGGAGGGTTGTCATAGTTTATACTCCCTCTATTCTCTATTAGATGTCCCTATAGGGTTTGACACAGCAAGTTTTAAGAGAAAGATATTAGGGGTAGTGGAAAATGTATAGTGTGTTGTGTGTAAAGGAAAAAGTAGGAAAGAGAATGAGGGTAATGAGTATATTGATTGAAAAACTTACCAAAAACGGAAATGGAAACAATTAATAGAGATCATCCCAAAAGGGAAAGAGTGCCAAGTATTAGAGAACGGAGGGAGTATTATGTTTCACTTAAATAATAATAATAATAATAATCCAATAAGAAAATATTGTGACCAGTGACTCGGTGAGCTGGACACATAGGGGCCGGGGGCGAGGGGTGACTTCTGTGAAGCCATGAGCTGTGTGACTGTGTCAGTGTGTGAGGTAGTGAACATGAACTTGAATCCTTGGAATTGATAGAAAAGGAAACCCCAATTTAATTCGAGGATGATTTAACTTAAAATTGAGGTCTAGAAAATGGAGAATGGAACCTAAAAAGTGCATAACTTTTTGTTTTGTACTACGTATGATGTACTTTTTTTTTACACAACTATGTATGATGTACTTGGGAATTTTGTGCAGGAGGCTATGAGGCTATAATCATTACTAATATGCTTTTCAAGTATCAAGATTAAGAGCGAGATTGACATTTTCGGTCATCCCTCATCTTTACTCTCAAATGATATCGCGCGATCCAGTGTAATGTGATCTAATTTTTACGGAGTATTTTCCAACCTCATTTTTATAAATAGATTTTCAAAGATAGTTAGTACATACGTAATATCTCATTATATTAATCCTTTCAAAAATACTCATTATATTATCTACACTACGTTTAAAAACCGGCATGCCTCGATTGAATTGACCAGGATACTAGCGTTAATAAGTAAACAAAACCGGTTGGATTATTGATGGAATTGAAAACACAAAAATAGATGAAAAGTGGAAAACCAGGATATTAGCGTTAGTATAAAAAACCAATTTTGGGTTGTTTTTTAAGAAGTTTATATATTTTTATTTAAGCATATTTAGTCTTATGCTACGTATAATAATGTATTCAATTATATAAGAATCATGACGTTGAGCGTTTAAAAAAAGCATCATGACTTTGAGTCAATGGTAGCTTTAGTAACAATGTATAGTAGTACAGTTAACAAATTTGATATCAGTAATTTTTTACAAAAATCCCTCTTAATAATATAATATTGTAATGCATGCCATCTCCAAATCATGCTGTTTAACTTCCTCGGTGACCTTTGTAATCGCTTAGTGGCAAGCCGCATTTCTAAATTTTCAATATGCATTTATCGGTCACAATGAGATACAAATGCAGGAATGAGGTTTGCATGGTTCACGAAAGAAAGCAAGAAGTAGAGTGCTTGGACCTTTGAATATTTCCACTTTGATTCATACTTGTGTTTGGTGAATTGGTGTTTGTATTTTATATTTAGTAAAGTACATAGCATGAAATATGTATACAAATTGTTGGGTTGTTCATTCTTTTTCATGTTAGGTAGATATCATAACTATGCCATACTATATATACCAACCGTTACTACATTTTTGAAGCACTATTAATTAAAACAATAAATCTATGTACATCAATCATCTGTGTTTATATATTACGGAGAATTTGGAATAATGCAATGTGATATAATATCTCCCTCCCAAATTGATTTGCAAAATTGACTTTTGTTAGTTGGTCAAACAATTTCATCTTATTCACTTAATTAGGATACCAATTTTTATTCTAATTTGGAGTTTTAATGTAATTTTTCAATATGTAAATTTTAATTATTCAAAATTGAATTCAATATCAATAGGCTAAGAAGATTTAACTTTAACATTACTTCACATAAAATGTTGACTTTGTAAATCAATTTGGGGCGGATGGAGTATATATATCCTTCAGTATAAAGATGAAGTAATATTATTTTAAACACAAAATTGGTTGTATCAGCAGCATAATGTATCACGAGTATGATTTAATTCCACTTTAATGCATAATAACAGGCCCGTTTGGTAACACTCAAATTGGTTGAATTATATTGATTTATGTTGTTGAAATTTATAAAGTTCTGACTGAAGTGGTTGAATTGGCTGATCCTACTTATTTATGAAATAATTGTATTTAAAATGTTTTTTATTAATAAAATAAAGAAAAAATTATGTGAAAATAGCTAAAGTGATCCTCTACAGTAACTTCAGCTAATATAGCCAGAAAAATAAATCTTGATTTACTTTTTTTATTATTAAACAATTCAGCGTGCGAAATCAAAAGATGTATTTTTGGTTAAAAAAAAAGTTGACTGGTAAGTCCGATAAATGGAAAACAGGATCACCAAATGGGCTCAACATATTGCCTTTTAAAGGTCTATAATATTGGTAGTGAACTATGTCTAAATAAAAATAGCTAAGGTTGAATATATATTATTGTTATGTTATATACAAAATGTTTTATATGAATTGATCGTGCATTTTTTATATATGAATAATTGGTGATATTATTTATGTTTCTTTAATATTTTTAAAATTTATCATCATTTATTCATTTAAATTTTATATCAATTGTATATAAATTCAATTGCCGTGCATCGCACGGGTATAATACTAGTTGATAGACACAATGGAAAAGTTTGCCTACTCGAGAGATACATGACAGATTCCCTTTTAAAATGAAATGTATTTTGTTAATGAATACTTTTATTTTGACTACTATGTTCATTAGTAATGTATATATATTTTGACATAAATTATCAGTAATTTATCACTATTATCACTTCTATTTATGTTTTATTTCTACTCGTGTCGGGAAAGAAGGCTCATTTTTTGTGGACCATTCTTGGCGTACACAAGATATACACAAAATCTGCACATTGTCTGTGTACACAGACAATTTGACATCAAGTCTTGCTCCTTTTTAAACACATTGCCTGTGTACACAAGTCCTGAAGTTTTGTGTATAATTTGTGTACAAGTCATGTACACTAAGAACTTTTCTTTTTTGGGAAAAAGTCAAATAGGTTCTCGAACTTACTTAAAAAGGTCAAATAAGTTCTTATATAGGAGTTCTGTCCGACTGTCGCCATTTGGGGTAGTTCCCGGTGAATTTTTTTTATAAAATTTTTTGAGCATCGTATTTATTAAGTTTACCCATATCAAATTTCAGCTAACAATTCAATCGGGAAGACATTCAAATGAATTCTTAAAGATAACTGCGCATTTATGTTCAAGAATTCATTTGAATGCCCATTTTTCTTGCCCCATTTTCTAGGAGCCGCCCTGACACGAATTTGGTGAGCAGCAGCCTATGCACAGACATTGGTTCCCATGAAACTGTTTCCCCATGCTGTCAAGATTCCTTCCATATCCAGAAAAGAATGCTGCAGTCTCAGGAAGCCTCTTTTGCCACTGTCTATTTCTTCATCCTCAAACCACTCCTCTGCCAGCAGTGGCTCTCATTTCATCTTCTTACCTGAAATCGTCCCTAACCGCCGACTATTGTCGTTTTTACAGCAATTCTCTACAAACATTTTCTGGGTCGCATCAATTCATGCGCAGATTATTGTAAATTCTCTATCAGCTGACCCTATTCTGGCCACAAAGCTAGTAAAGGCGTATGGTGATTTGGGCTCTCTTGAATCTGCTCGCAATGTGTATGATCAATTTACGGACCCAGAAGTATTTCTTTGCAATGCTATGATGAATGAGTTTTTGAAAAGGGGGCAGTACTCTAAGGTGGTTGACCTCTTTCTAATGATAGGTATCTTAGAAACAAGAATTGATAGTTGCACTTGCACATTCATGCTCAAAGCCTGCAGCGCCTTACCAAATTATTACGAGACTGGGATGGAAATTGTTAGGAGGGGTGTAGGTCGTGGAATGCATAATGATCGTTTTTTTGGGAGTTCTATGTTAAATTTCTTGGTGAAATATGAACACCTTGATTATGCACAGATTTTATTTGATGAGATGGAAAATAAGGATGTTGTGTGTTGGAATTCAATGATGGGAGGTTATGTGAAAACCAATCAGTTTGATAAGGCGTTTCAACTGCTTTTAGGGATGCATAAATGTAACATTGGACTTAGTACTGTAACTGTGGTGAACTTGATTCAGGTATGCAAGGCGATGGGATGTATAAGAGTAGGAAAATGTACTCATGGACTTACAGTTCAGTTGGGAATGGGAAATGATGTTAAAGTGCTAACGTCATTGATCAATATGTATAGTATGATGGGTGACATTGAAACGTCTTCCCTTGTTTTTGATAGAATGCCTACTAGAACTCTGGTTTCTTGGAATGCAATGATCTCAGGATGTGTTCACAATGACTTGGTTCATAAATCACGTGAATACTTTCATGAATTAGTATGTCATGGGATCAGTTTTGATTCGGGAACTCTCGTTAGCCTCCTTCAAGGTTGCTCACAAGTGGCTGACATGGCAAGTGGCAAGATACTTCATGCTTACATCTTACGACGAAGTCTAGAGTCAAGTAATATTTTATTTACAGCACTTCTTGATTTATATGCCAAGAGTGGAGAACTCACGAAGGCAAATTATGTTTTTACTGCAATGAAAGACAAAAATGTTATTACATGGACTGCTTTGCTCGTGGGACTATCTCAAAACGGAAGAGCGGAGGATGCGTTGAAGCTATTCTGTCAAATGCAGGAAGAGAATGTTGCTGCAAATTCTGTGACTCTGGTTGGTTTGGTCTACTGTTGTGCCCATTTGGGGTCCTCACAGAAAGGAAAAAGTGTTCATGCTAAATTAGTTCGTTCAGGTTATTCTTTTGAAATTGTGAACATGACAGCTTTGATTGATATGTATGCCAAATGTGGCAAAATAAGTGTAGCCGAAAGGGTGTTCAATACTGTAGTGGATCGTGGAGATGTTATTTTGTTTAACGCTATGATAACAAGTTATGGTATTCACGGTTTTGGGCACCAAGCTATAAGCATATATGACCAAATGATGTATCGGAGAGTCTCTCCAAATCAAACTACATTTGTTGCTCTTCTAGCAGCATGTAGTCACTCTGGGCTCGTGGAAGAGGGTACCTATTTATTTGAGAAGATGAAAAGTGAACATAAAGTTGAGCCATCTGAAAAGCATTATGCTTGTTTGGTTGATCTTCTTAGTAGGGCAGGGCGTCTTGAAGATGCAGAAGAGTGCATTAAAAATATGCCGTCTCAGCCTGGCACTACTGCTGTTCTTGAAGCTTTACTCAATGGGTGTCGTTACCATAAGAATATTGATATAGGCTTGAGAACTGCAGATAAGTTGCTTCACCTAGACTCCACAAACCCTGGTATATATATTTTACTATCAAATATATATGCTGAGGTAAAGAGATGGGATGTAGTAGATTATATTCGCAGCACCATGAGGACTCACAGATTAAAGAAGATTCCAGGGTACAGTTCAGTTGAAATAAAAAATCAGGTCCATACTTTTTTTGCTGGCGATAATTCGCATTTGAACTGGGAAGAAATTCATCAGTTCTTAGAAGCTTTAAAATCAGTGATAGAAGCTTCTGGGCATGTACCGGACACTAGCTGTGTTCGTCGTGATGTTGATGAAAAGATGAAAGTGAAGTTATTGTGGGGTCATAGTGAGAGATCAGCTATTGCATTGGGACTTCTAAGCACACCACCTGGAAGTGTGATTCGCATAACAAAAAATCTCCGTGTCTGTAATGACTGCCATATGGTTACAAAATACATATCACAAATAGTACAAAGAGAGATTGTTGTGAGAGATGTCAATCGATTCCACCACTTTAGGAATGGGAAGTGCTCTTGTGGTGATTACTGGTGATGAGGGTTAACTAGCTAAGAAATCAAGCTTGGACTAATTTTATTATAGTGGCCTGCTATCAAAGCTCAAGCTATGTGGCGAAAATGGTCTTCCATTGGCAGCAGCAGGGTCAGTTGACTTTATACTAACACTGTTATGATCATTAGTTTTGCTATCTTGTTATCATATGATATGCAGTTCTCTTGGATGTGGTGTCACACTTAAATAGCAGTGCTCTTTAAGAACATATTCCAATTTGGTTCCATGATTTTAGTTAATTTTCACGGTTGGTGTGACTTTGGATTATCTGCCACTTGGGTCTTGTGATCACTCATCCGGCAAAATATCAATCAGAAATTGGTCTGGTAAGTGATTTGGAGGACAAAAAATGACAAGAGATTTGTAGTTGTGCACTAAAAGTGGAAAATGTGAAAGTCGGGAACCAAAGTGAACTTGAGTAAATAATCGTGGGTCCTAAAGTGGAATATTTTATTTTTCTAATCATGTGATTGGTGACTGGGACACTGGGTTTTACATTATGGTGCTATTCGAGTTAAGAGATGCTTGCACTCGGTAATCTTAGTTCTGACTTGAGTGTACTTTTCCCTATCTATATCCAATTTCTTGCATTTACTTCATGTTGAATGCAATGTTACACTCTGTCTACATTTATTATTTTTCACACTATATACATAACAGTTGAGTTTAGAACACTGTCTAAATTGTACTTTGACATTGTACATTCAACCATTCTATCGCTCTTTTCGATAATTCCATCATTTATGTTTTTCACAAGTTTCTACATCATCATCATCATTACCCCAGTGCTACAAAGGCTCCCACCTACGGTAGGGTAGGGGGGGTCGGATGTACGCAGTCTTACCCCTGTACTGAAGCACAGAGAGACTGATACCAGATGACCCATAGTGAAAATCGCGTCCAAAATTGCATAGACTGACCACTGCTTCATAACAAAGAACCGCAGACAGTTCAGTGAGCCATTTTCTACATGTCAAGATTTATTCATTGCAATATAACTTAGAAATTTAACTATTCATTGAAACTCTCCAAGACCTCTTAATGTTCATTCACATGCATATTATTAGCGAGCATGGTTCATGACTTGAGATTTTTTAATCTTTCACAGATTGTAAATTATTTTCTTTTGGATGAAGACTTGGACTACCCTAGAAAGGTGGAGCAATCAGCGGAAACAAATTCAAAACCGGATGTAAGTGCTGTAATGCTACCCTACTCAAGTTTGTGCATTCCAAAGTCACATAGAGTGATCCCTCCCCTCTTTGCTGCAACTTTTGATGAGCCAATTAAACTCTTTACTGATGAGGTGTTAAAGGAGAGTGGCAGAGTGCCACCTATAAAAGTAGTCTTGAGGTTACTTAAGTAAATTTGAGTCCTTTCAAATGAAATTTGGTCGCTTTTCAGTCACAGTGTTCAAAGTGAACAAGGAAATGGCCACTGCTCAGTCCTGATACATAGATTAGCTAAAACTTCAAATACTGTGATAGCCCCTATATCTGCTCCAAATGCTTCTAAAAGAATAATTTTAAATTGTACCTTGACCAGATGTTACAATTGCATTATAGTATGAGTAACTTTCTATCTGCAAAAGTCAACAGCAGGATAAGCAACATGCAATCAAAATTGATGTGCCCTCCCTTGGAGAAACATATATATCCTGCTTGGCAAAGCTGTATCATTCTATAGGTAAGCTGGTAGTTTTTTCACTCCACTTCTTCTTGATAGTGTTTGTCGTTATAATCACGTCCGTCTATTTTTTTAATCAGGAAGCAGATGAAGTGTGTTCTCTATCCGTTCAAGAAAGCCACACTTTTCATTTACATAGTTTTTTTGTTTTTGGATGAACTTTCATTTACATAGTTTTATTTTAACTTAAGTAGCACGGAACGCGAAACAGAAAATGATAATGTAAATATAAAAAAGTACAAGATGAAAACCTTAGGGAAACGCGTAAATATAAAAAAATATCGGGATGTTTTCCCAAAAATGTTTTCATGCATTTTTCAAAAAGGTTTTGCAAATATGTGTGCGTGTGTTATAAATTTTGCTAGGTAACAACAATATGTTAAAATGTAATCCATATTCGTAACAAATTGTGCTGAGAAATGTCAAAATTTTCATTTTGATATGGAGTACAAACATCCATTAAGAAATCTCATAAAAGTCACAACTTGTATCAAGTATCCGCGTATCCCATCAAAAAGGTTAAACGTGATGCCTTAATGTTTCTAATATGTTGATTAAATAGGAAAACAAGTTCCCAATTTCATTTAATTGCAAAAACGGCCCGTCAACAGGAATTTCAAGTTTCTACTTTCTAAGTTTTAAACCTGTCCTAGTTTTCAAAAAGGCAAAATGTATGCTTTATGGACTTTCTGCGCTTTTTAGATTGTAACTAATATTTGTTGTCTGAAACATACAGAGGGATATAATGTACGTAGTATTCATTAGGTGATGATCACATGGCTAACTTTTGGACACTAGATGAAGCAATAGGCACATAGGACTGATTTTGTATAATTTATAATGCCCATTTTTTTGTCTCCCTAGCATAACTCTTTCTGATATTTGGTCTTCGTGAATCGGGAAGTACACTATGCAGTTCATTCTGGTTGCATTCTGATCACTATAAAACAGTTGTTGTTTTTGCTTCAGAAAGCTAGCAAACTCATTAAAAAGAGATCATCTCCAATGGACGGCCAATTGTTCCTAATAAAACATCATTTTATCCTAAGGGTCTGGATTTTAATCTTGGCATTCCATTTGTAACTTTTTCCTTTGGAAATGAACAATTTGTCTTCCACATTGCGCCATTTGATACTGAATTTTCGGTGACGCACAAGGACCCCTTTTTTTCACATTTAATGGTCAGTAACAAACTTTGAGAATTATTATCTGATTTGTGTCATCATATCCTAACTGATGCACTGCTTTTTTGAAAGTGCATGCCTAAACTCTATTGCTTTATGTCCAGGAACAACTCAGACGGATTCTGAGGACAAGCATCAATATTTGATGTATCAAGATCAACTTCATTGCAAGGACATTGTCTCCAGTCTCCACGAGTGTTGAAAAGCCAAGTTGATGCCAAACAGGTATATTTTACTCAAAATAATAAGTATAGTGAAACCTATTGAGATTGTGTTTGAGACTAACTAAATGCTGAACATTGTGTCAGGTGGTTGAGTCTATTCCATTGTAGGAACCGGAGAAAAGCCTAAAACAACATGCAAGGAGTTTATTATGTCTGTGACGAAATTAATTGTGGAGCCCTTGCTTTCTTTTGCTACCAAGGATGGTTCAACTCTGTTTCTTCATGCGAGGAGTAGAGAATGAGTGCACACACATTAATATTATAGGACTAAATGTTTCTTTATGTGAGGAATTATATGTTTGGTCACAATGATGAAATATGAAAGTAACCCAATTTTGAAGCCAAAATCCAATGACTTGGTCACAACTAGACCTTGTTTGTCTCTCTCGGCAGTTTTTTTTAATAAGGGTTGTCTGAGCAATGCAACCAGAAGCTAACTGTATAGAGCAAGATGCTGATGCTGATGATGATGAAATATTCATAATAACATAGTTTAGATAAGACTGGGGCTCCTTTTGGTAGCCTGTTCTGCTTATTGTGCAAATCAGCAGAATAAGTAGCTTTTGACCTTTATATTTGGCTGAAATAGATGTTACCAAATGTTTTGAAGATTATTGCTGAAATGCTGTTAAAGTTGCATTGTCTGGTAGTCAAAATCGAAAGTTTAAGTCTGTTATTGCAAAGCCGCTCAAGGATCACGCCGTTGCCTCTACAGAAAAGATTGCTGAAATTCTTCGAAAGGTACATATGTCCTTATATCCCCACTTTATTAATTTAGTTTCAATCAATAATCCCATTGATCCCTCAAGAAATAGTATAGATTCTTACTTTCTATCTTCCTAACCAGGTGAATGCAGAAAATGATTAAGACTTGCCTATGGTGTTGGCAAAAATGAAGCTTTATCTACAGAACCCATCTACTTAATCAATACTTTTCAAACCATTAAAGTAAGATTTATGTTTCGACTATTCATGCCTCCTAGCAACTTGGATTTAGTGAAGAAAGGGTGTTTTGGTTGCATCTTTCTATAGAGATTTTAGTTGGCTTGTGTGTTGTTTCCATTGTCATTGCAGGACAAATATTATCGAAGCACATTCTTAAGTTCAAGTATTGTCACACCTCAAAAAAGATTATTCACTGGAGCATATACCAAATGTCGTAAATACGGGCTGGACATAAAACTTGACAGCCTCCTATAGTTCTCCCGGATTTGAGACACTGTTTTGATTTCTTTCTTTCTATTTCCAATATTAGTGGTCTGGGGCATCAGATTTGAATGTCTCTCAAATGTTGCAGTAGAGAACTTTCCAGTGAGCTTGATTTGACAGTCTAAGCCTTGCTGCTGCATATATAGATGAATTCCATTACTGAAAATATGATATTACAATTTGAGGCAGTTGTTAAAAAGTGCCATTAGAGGTTGGCGTTCTCAGACTGAATGTAAGCATTTGAAACTATTGTATACATACAAGAATTGTGACGCCCTTGAAAAAGACTGCAAATAGAGTAAGGAACGGTACTGGATTTGGCTCACAAACGAGCTGTTACTGTTGACATTAGATAACAGTATAGGCTGTATAGCCGCGAACAGCACATACATTCAGTTGCATTGGAGTTACCTTTGGCTAGTCTGAGTTATGCACTTATAACTTCTTTGCATGTAAATCTAAATACAAAATAGTAATTAAAGCTTCCAAAAATATATTAATTCATGTAACTACAGTCTACAGGAGTAAATGCCAAAGGAAAACGTTTTTGGCCTCCCCATTCTCATGACTGTCCCACTGAGTTAGTGATGTGAAGAATTCTCAAATCTCGAATTTCGATGGCCGGCTGAAAATCATGAATCTCTAACATTTAAAAAACAGCTTAAGCGGATCGGCAAAAGAAATATGATTGGTGGCAATCTATTCAGTTTTATCAAGTGCAACAAGTGTTTCGGCGTATAGTTCCCATTCAAAAGTGACAAGTTTTTTAGAAAATAATTAAATAAAGTGATTTGAGTATATACTGAGAATTAATTTGGATGTGTATATAATTTAAGGGGCTGATTGATAATAATTATGATGTTATAAGTGTATTGTTTTTTTTGAGATCCTTTTGATGCCCGAGTTGCCGCAAAGAACAATTCGAAAAAAAGAGGAAGCATTGAACCATCGAACCAGTGAGCCGATTGTGGATTGCTACCAAGAACGATGTGAAAGCTTTGAGGGCTAGAGTCAGTCCTAGGAAATCCTAGACGGCGAACTGAAGTTGTACAAATCTAATGTCATGGTTTTCTCTTCTTCAATGTTGGTGACATCCTCTGGGCAGTAATGAAATAAAGGTTTTTTTTATGTTGTTGCTCTTTTTTTCTACCTTCTAGGGTTTTGGTTTTGTCAGGCTTCTTTTATAATCAAGAGTTATGCCCGTTTCATGTGAGCGTGAATTTTGTTTTTCTCCTAGCAATATCTACAGACCTAGGGGAAGACCGTGTCTTCCTCGTAGGTGCAACAAATCAAGTGATTCATTTTTCATGGTTGGCAAGACAAGTTCAACCTAGTCTTTCTGAAATTGGATCTACTTTTCGGTGGCTGGTCAAACCGATGATTCAGACAATTTCTGCTCAATTGAGTTTCTTTTGTTGATTGCTGGTCAAACACATTCTCTCTTCCCGGTGGCTGGTGGAGCCTTGTATAATAATTACAAACTTTTTATTGCAAGGCCTAATTATAATAATTAGCACAAGATCCTCTTGAAGTTCATAAGAGATTAGAAAGTTCAACCCAAAAAAAGATCTTCTTGAAGTTTGGGACGAGTCAAATTAAACAGACTTGGTATTATGCGCACATGTCACCGTGTAGTTCATAAAAGTGATCCTAATCCTTAATTATCCTCAATTATTTTAAGCTAGTAATGGGAGTTAATACTCTCTTTAACTCTCAATTAATATAAAGGTGATTTAAGTATGTTTCACTTGGAGAGGTTAGAGGAAGGAGACGGTCGTCAGTCGTGGAAAACATAGGCGGCTTCGGGAAGTTTTGAGCAGAGGACGGTGGCGGGGTCGAGCTTCGGTGAGGCTTCTCAGCAAACTCGAGCTTCATTTTTCAACAGATGGAAGAGGTGGTCATCAGTACAAAAGGATGACCATAGGGGAAGAAAATAGCAATCTGAATTTTGATGATGAGGAGGATGGAGACCTTGATTCAACCGCAAAGGAGGCTGAATTTCCGGTGGTGGGAGTGGTTCTCACGGATCGTAAAATCAGGGCTCAGGCAGTAAAAGATCTGTTTGCTTCAACTTGGCGACCAAACAAAGGAATGTCAGTCCAAGAGATAGAAGACAAGAGGTATTTGTTTACTTTTTATCATGCAGTGGATATGAATCGTGTTCTAGAAGTCTAGTTAGTTTTTTTTCGTTTTAAACGCGTTTTAAACACGTACCATTTTTTGACCAAAAAAACATGTTTAAAAAGGGGGGAAATGTCGGTCAGTTTAAAAAGGAAAAAAACTTCTACTTCCCATATAAAACGTATTTTTTCCGTATTTTACTAAAATCATAAACATGAATTGACCAATTGAATGAATGCAATAAATGCATAGAAGATCAACAATAGTGTAAAAGTAAAAATGAAAACGTCCTCCCCATGATCTCGTGTTTTTGTATTGTTACAGTGCAATTATTAAATACTAAAATTAATTGCATGAAGGCTAAAGCTAGCATCCTGAAATACTAAAACTTACGTAGTAATATACTACAAGATTTCTGATGTTTTTTCAAGCTAGCATATCAAAATTAAGATTTTTCTAAACCTACCGTTTTTTTAGCATAAACTTTTACACAAACAATAATAAGTGTAGCAATCACACAACTTTTGTCATATTTCATCTGTCATTTTAATGAAAATGATGAGTTTAACTTGAGTGTTATTTGATAATCATATAAAGATAATGTTTTTTTGACATTATTTATCAAAATTATGTCTTGGACTTAATTACTGTTTTTATTTTTGTCATCGACTTACGCAATTACGAACTATTCTTGTATGTAGTAATGAGATTTGCTACTTGAATATGTGTATACTTTTATTTCTTTTTTACTATATATGTTATTTTGTATGAAATATATCATTTAAATGTTCAAAATATAATACCCGTATTTTTCGTCCGAATTTTTGTAATAGACAACGTATTATACACGTATACGTATTTACACGTTTTTTAAAAGTCAACGATTTTTTCAACGAATTTTTGACCATTTTTTTCATTCACGTTACCGAATAAAACGCGTACGTATTAAACCTCGTTTAATTCCCGTACCGTATTTAACTAACTAGGTCTAGAAGATGGTCCTTGGCTGTTTGAGAGAAATTTATTATTGCTTAAGGTGGTTGGTCCAAATGATATTCCCCATAAGATTAATTTGTTTGAAACTGAATTCTGGGTGCAAGTGCACAATGTTCCCTATAGTTTTATGAATATAGGTACTGCTAAAAAAGTGGGAAACTATATTGGGGAGTTCATTATGTTTGATGAGAGCCACTTTAAGGTAAAATGAGAATCTTATTTGAGGGTCAGGGTGAGGTTGGACGTGAGGAAGCCCTTAAAGAAGGGCTCTACCTTTACGAGAGGGGGAATTGGACACTGGGTGGACTTTAAATACGAAAAACTACCTAACTTCTCTTTCATTTGTGGGGTGATTGGACATTCTGAGAAATTATGTTCCTTGAAATATGAGGATGATATAGTTTTGGAAAAATCCTTTGGGATAGAACTTCGAGCGGGAGGGGGGGGACAAGCCCCACAAGGGGTAATAAGTGGTTAGTGGAAAAACCGCCAGGTTTAACGCAGCAGAGGTGGATAGTTCAAACTTCAAAGGGGTGAAGGTTATGGGGGACAGGGAGAAGAGGCTACAGTTGATTCAGAGAATAGTGTCGCCAAGAAAGAAGGCAGCAGAAGCGCTGAGAAAGTACCGGTGGACCAGAAACGCAGAAAGATATGGGAGTAGCAGGCACGAGAGGACACAACAAGGGAGAAGATGGCTCTGGATAGCACAAAAAACGGGGAGGCGGCGGGTCCGGGTTCCTAGACCTGCCGGTCATGACAGTGATGCTGCTTTTGAAGAAGACAAACTTTGGCTTTTATTTTATTGTAGTTTTGCATTTTAATTTCCATGTTGAGATTGTTGTGTTTGGTTTTTATTTCTTTTGTTATTCAATTCAATAACTTTTCTGATCTTTCATTTGACATTTATGTTGCATATTTAAATTTTGAGAATATTAACTGGAATAGGACTAAAACAGTTTGAAAATTCCAAAATAGGACTGTCATGTTTTTATTTCCAAAATAGAACTAATTACTGCCATGTTTTGACAGTACTAGATTTCAAACATGACAGTATTTTCCAAACTTGGCAGTAATTACTCTTATTTTGGGAATAAATATAGCAGACGTATTTTAGATTTTTCAAACTTTTTAGTCCTATTTCGGGAACTTTCCCTTAATTTTTTTGGAAAGCATTCTTTTTTAATTAGATATTTACTTTAATAGGGTTTTCCTTAAAATTACTATAGTCAAAAATATGATTTATGTCCAAGTATATCATAATAGTCACTACATTGTAAATATGGACATCATCATGACCACTGAAGTATAAAAAGTCACATAATTGTTCAATATCTTTATTTTATTTGTCTTTTTTTCTTTCTAATTTTAATGGTTCTTTATGTTACATCTGTAATGTAAAGTTTAGTTTGCTCAAACAAAGACGCATATTTAGTTACTTAAAGTTTAAACGTTTAGAGTTAATGTTTGTTTTCACACTTTTATTTTATATTGGGCAATTTTTGGACCTTTTTAATAAGCTTATGCTGTAGAGTGCAGAAAAACAAGTTAAATTCTTTTAACATAAAAGATATGTAGCATTTGTGGATTGGTATATTTTTTATATTTTAAATATACTAGTGGCTTCCGATATATATAACTACTAGATTTTTCATCTGTGCGTTGCACGGGATGAAGTTAATAAGCATTAAATTATTTCAAGAGATAAACAAATGTTATGGTAAAATAAATCTTTATATAAATTGTTTCTTCACCAACGTAAATAATATAAGAGTTGCACAATTATATATACACTTCCCGAAAACAATAGTTAAATTAAAGTCGTGTTGGTCAACTTTCCATCATCATCACATATAATATACTTCAATCTTGAAGTGGACGTTATTCTTGAAACCATGACGTACACTTGTCTTTTGGTGAAAACCGGACCTTATTTAAATTTTATTTTGTGATTTGAAATTTATTTTAGTAAATAAAAAATTGATAAACGCAATTTAGTTAAAATCCTAATTAAAATACTACTATGTTAGGAGAAAATGAGAAATGTAAACCTAATTACTATAAAGTATATAGATACAAAACTAATTAGGAGTGTATTCAGAAATGGGATAAGGGTCAGTTTGGTCATCGAAGTTGCAAAAAAGGGGTCAAATAAGTCCTTATATAGAAAATTCTGTCTCGACGTGCCATTTGAGGTGTCTCCCGGTGAAATTTTTTGATTAAATTTTTTGAGCATCTTATTCATTAAGTCTAGTTTACTCATACCAAATTTCAGATAAGAATTCAATCGGGAAGACATTCAAATGAATTCTTGAAGATAACTGTGCCGTTAAAAGCGCAGTTATCTTCAAGAATTCATTTGAATGTCTCCCCGATTGAATTTTTAGCTGAAATTTGGTATGGGTAAACTAGACTTAATGAATAAGATGCTCAAAAAGTTTCATCAAAAAATTCTATCGGGAGCCGCCTCAAATGGCACGTCCGGACAGAATCTTCTATATAAGGACTTATTTGACCTTTTTTTTGCAACTTCGAGGATCAAACTGACTCTTTACTCATTCAGAAATTTGTGTAACCAATTATTCATTACTAAACATTTTGAAGTCCCTAAATAATGGTGCAACAACTTTCAGTCAATTTTCACAACCTAGTGAAGGATTAGCACCCATATTCCAATGGTGCAATAAGAGTATTTGTGGCAGCAAATTGATTTTGATGCATCACTTATCTGGGATCAAGTACTTTATCACTTGAACCCTTCATATATAACCAATAATGAGATACTAAGTTGGGGGTTTTGTTCTGTAAAATGATTTTGTTCTTAATTTGAACCAGTCCACCAAGAGTACTTCCGGTTTCCTATACAAAATTAAATCCAGAGAAGTTTATGAAGTGAGGACAAATATTCCACTAATATTCTACCACGGGTAAAGAAATAAAAGGTAGTCGGTGTTGTGTTATCTTGTTGCACATTTGTATAAATTGTTGGAATAAATCTATTTAAACCGTAATTTTCATATTGGACATAGTTAGAGAAATAACTGAGCGGAAGCATACCGGCCCCATTGGAGACGGTCGTTCAGATCCCAGGCAACGGAGGCTAGGGTTTGTGTCTTCTAGTTGATACACGCCCTCCAGAATTATCTCTCTAACGATGAGATGAAGAAAGATTGAATGGTGTGTACAACTAAGGATCATAACTTTTCTATTTATAGGGAATGCTTAACTCTGATTAGCCCATCATTAATTAGGATTAAGATCATAAGTCTCTATTATACACGTTTGGGCCCTATACTTTATAAGATAATGAAATTAGCCCACTTAAATTAATATTCGTAGGACCACTAATTTTGGGCCTAAATATAAGATAACATACAACATAATGAACATACAACTAAACCCAATAAATAATATATTGTGAATATTACATTTAGTTTGAGTCCATTGGGGAGGGTTCTAGTAAGAACCCCCCCCCCCCCCCCCAAATGAGAACTCATTTATAAATGAGAACTCTTAATCTCCATCTTTGATATATCAAATCAAGGGCTTTAATGCAAATGAGGTCTTTTTTGTAATAAATTTATAATAATTACAAAAAGTACCCCATTTGAAGTTTTAATAATTACACAAAGGACCCCATGTGTATCCTACCAACGATTGAATAAAATCAAAAGTAAAGATTAAGAGTTCTCATTATAAAGGGTTCTCATTTTAGGAGGGGTTCTCACTAGAACCTTCCCCTGAGTCCATTAATCTAACATAAATATATATTTCTATTGTAGTATTAGATTCACTAAAGAATGAAAGATATAATTATGCAAAATATATGGTGCTTCAAATCATTAATGCTTTTAGCTAAAAGTGAATGAAATTTCAAGGCTCAATGGAGAAGAACCGCGTATTGCAACCTACACTTTTCAACTTCTGCAACCACCTTGTTCATGAAACATAGTAAGCAAACTTCAGCAAAAAACCAATTAGGATGAGAAATCTAAATTCAGAAAATGTTTAAACAACACCGCTACTTAGTCTATGTGGGTTGAACGACATAGCCACTCAATCACGAAGAAGAAGAAGCCACGATCTTTTGCGTAATGAAGATTTGAAGCGGAAAATGAAGAAGGAAGAAATGGAGACCGAAAAAAGGGAGAGGGTTACGATCGAGGAGGTGATATCTAAGGCGTACCTTAGGTCGAAGTAAATCGAACGATTGAAATTGCTAAATGGTTTGAGCGGAAAATGAAACAATCCATTAATCCATCATCCATCTGACAGAACGCTTCCGTCACCTTCCTCGTAGGTTGCTTCTGATCGAATCCGTCTCTTTGATTGAAACAATGAAGAACGAAGGCCGAGATGTTATCCTCTTTCCTCCAAAGTTGTGTTAATGATGAGACACATTAAATTGTAATTTCATCCATGTTGATGTTGACGCTTTAGTGGCAAGGGTGACTCCGTTGCTCGTTTGAGTCTGGCTCCATGTGTGTGTCTAATGTCATACAAATACTTTGAACACTATTTCGTTTGCATTTCAGTAATATATTGTTAACCTACAATGATTGTTTAAGGTTTGTGTTGATGTCATTAGTGTCAGTGTCATTCATGTCACCTCCTTCTGTTTTGAAGTCCCTTTTTGTTTTGTGTTATGCTATTGAAACATATAATTCTGTAGTGTGTTTTTCTGTATAGTTTTAGCCAAAACGTTGCAGACTTGCAGAGAATCAGTGATATTCGCACTCATGTTTATATAAGATAAGACATGAAAACCACTCATTTCCTTGAAATTATGTGAGCCGAGTCATTTATGTTTTGACGTTTATGTAAGGCTTTATTTTTATAAAACCCTGGTGTTTGCATTCATGTTTAGATGGCATGAAAACCCCACTTCTTCCCTTGTAATTATGTAAGCCACATCGTTTATGTCTTGACGTTTCTGTAAGATTACTATTTACGTAAGCCCCGTCATTTATGTTTTGAAATTTCTGTAAAGATTTGTTTGTAGAGAATCAGTGGTGTTTGCACTCATGCTTTGAAGATATGAAAAATCACTTCTTCCCTTGTAATAATGTACACCCCATTATTTATGTTTGACGTTTCTGTAAAGCTTTGTTCGACATGTGTTAGGATATCGTCATCATCTATTGTTGATTGTTCCCATGTAAATAGAATTTGACTAAACTCGGCCGTAGGTTGAACAAGAATTGAAGAAATGATAAGAAACATATGTATATTGTTGATAATATAGTTTTTTTTTTACCATAGAAAAAATCTTGGCAAACAAGTTCTATTACATATTACTTACATTGCGGTCTTGATATTTCAAAATGAGAAGCAAGTGACAAGAAGAAAATATGACAATCTCTAATGCGTGAAACTATTTAAGAAGTGAAATAAAAACAACACATTGCCAAGAGATAATACTCAAACCTAGTAACCGCCCTTGAGATCATTAACAACATCATACAGAATGGGTGTCACAGTCTCCAAGGTAGCACTTGCTACCATAAATCCGGGTTGGGGACCTTTGGGTTGCCTTTTAGTACTAATCACCACACCTTTAGCCTTTGCCTCAACCTTAAGCCAACCATTTTCTTTCACCCTCTGCTTAAACTCCTCAGCACACCTGAATGCTTGAACGTGCTCTATGCGGACATGAAGCCTCTTTTTTAGGATCTTGTTCCTAACCTATTTGTTCACTTCGACACCAACTGCATGCTTGGTGACGTTCCAGACGCGTCCGGTGCGGCCATGGTAGAACTTGTGAGGCATAGTCTCAGACGCGGAGGACGCGAAGATGGGGCCGTGCTTCCTAAAACCACGTTGGAAGAGGTCCCATGTCCTCGCCCGTACTCCGTGACCAGCCGACAATTTCCTCTTCCTCCGCCTCTGACTAGCTGCTCCGTACGAGTATATTGTTGATAATATCGTATGAGTCTAGAAATATATCTGAATTAGAATGCGTGTGATTTACAATATGCTTCACTCATATTTATAGGAGAAGTAATTAATGTCCCTCTGGGCATTTCGCGCTATTGACAGTTTGATTCGACAGTTTCGTTTGTCGTGACAGCTTCACACTCATCATAAAGACTAGAGTCAACTCAAATTAATTGACCTCCTCCTTAATTACATTAATCATGGTATTAATACATAAAAACGTTCTAACAACCATCATTTGGTCTCATATGCCATTAATTCCATGGTTAATTCTCCAACAATTGCCCGTCTCAAATATATGAAGTAGTGTGATCTAAAACCTCTTAATAAGGTTAACATAAGGTTAACATTATGTCCTTTACTTAACGATCGTTATGTAGAGTAAAGGTAATTTAGATAATTGAGTTATTTTTATTTATTACGTAGTAGGGAGTATTATTTAAGATTAAAGATGTTTTTACTTGGACTGTAATTTATCCCAGACCAGACCAAACTTGAATAGACCAGACCAGACCAAACTTAGATAGTCATAAAAGTACAAAGAAACCAGATCGGACCAAACCAGATCAGACCAGACCAAACTTAGATAGTCATAAATATACAAAGAAACCAGATCAGACCAAATTAGATCAGACCAGATCACATCGGACTGAAATTTTAGAAATTCAGTCCATTCTACTCCGTAATTAAAATAGACGTGTTTGTTTGAAAAGCTGAAAAGGGCTTGAACTGGAATACAAAGTTTTCACATTCCAGACTTCACATTCCCATCGTATCCTTCATACACTTCTCCAACGAATTCCTCCCCAATCGACTGCCAAGGTAGAGCTCTCCAGATTATCAGGTATGAATTCCTTACTTCCCCTAATTCTTTGCTGATAACACATATATATCCTCCGTAATCTCCAACTCCAAGGTATCAACTTATATGCTTTTTCACTCTCCATCATATCTATGCTTTATTCGCTGCGCTACTGACTATAAAGAATGCCATCAATGTTAAAAAACCTGGTATGAAAAAAAAATCTGGTTTGAAATTGTTTTTAGTAATTGCTTGTGTCGACCAAATTAAACTCTGGAATGTGAGGTTCCCTTTGAACAATTACTCCGTATTAGATACCACGTTGTTGTGATTTTTGCTCTCCACTTTGTTATTACTATTATTATGATGAAAAGTAAAAGAAAAGATAACCATATTGATTTATTTGATTAGAATTTAGGAACTTGCTATAGCAAACTAAAGGGTTGTAACTGCTGATAAAAATGCAGAGTAATAAAATAAGGTGAGGTTAATTTGACTTTTCAGAAATATTATATATATACGCAAATGCATATCTATAAATGAGTACTCTTCCGGTCAGGAATTCCTGACCGGAACCGCCGTCCGGACGGCGGCGTTTGGCCGCCTTCCCAGTGGAATTTTTCAATGAAATTTTTATGAAATGTTTTCCATCAAGTCTAGTTTATCCACAAAAAATTTCAGCCAAAAACTCATTCTGGAAGGTCGTCAAATGATTTTTGCAAATTAACTGGTCCGGAAAATACATATTCCGGACCAGTTAACTTGCAAAAATCATTTGACAACCTTCCCGATTGAGTTTTTGGCTGAATTTTTTTGTGGATAAACTAGACTTGATGGAGAACATGTCATACAAATTTCATCAAAAAATGCCACCGGGAAGGCGGTCAAATGCCGCCGTCCGGACGGCGGTTCCTGTCCGGAATTCCGGACATGAACATTTGTGTCTATAAATATATGCACTAAAATTATTATACGTAGCAATAAATATTTTATTATATTAATAAGTCGTATGACCTTTAATGTAATTTCATATTATTCTTGCATTTTTTCAGCTCTTTTTGCCAAACGGATCTACTTCATTCAGCTAGCAATTCAGATTCAACACTTCAAAGTTCAGCTCCAAACAATAGTTTGCGTTTCAAGCCTCTAATTCAGACATTAGCCTCCAGTTCCAGCTCGTTGTGCTAAACATAACCCAAGTAAAAACATCATATATCTACTCTGTACTCCCTCTATCCCATTTTATCCGTCCTACTTTCTTTTTTGGGTTGTCCCAAAATAACTGTCTCATTTCCTTTTTTGGAAAGAAATATGTGGCCTACACCATTTCACTTTACTACCTCCGTAACGTAAATATCTTCTCACTTTCCTTATTTGGACGTAACATTAATATCTTCCCATTTCTAATTCTTCCCATTATACCCTCAATAATTTTAAAAATAATACACTATTACACCTACCTTTTTTGGATTTATACTTCATTCCATCACATTATTTCATTATCTTCCCATCATACCCCTAATAATACATATCTCCTTTCACTATTCTTAATCTACCTACTTTTCAAATGGGAACATCCCAATGTTACGGAGGTAGTATTATACTCAAACCTCAACCACAACTTTTACTTTTTCAACCACTTCGTTAATAACCATGCCAAGTCACACAAAATTGGGACGGAGGTAGTATTAAATAAAATTCCGTATACTTGCTTCAAAGTCTTGCGTCAATTTATTCACTCCTAAATCCCAATTTTAGTCATTTATTCTGATTCTTCTTTGGGATAGTTTCGAGTTTCGACCATGACCACTTCGAAGCGAAATCACAAAGAGAAGACAATTCGTCGCAACAAGTACGTTCCTGAACATTTTTGCTTTTGAAATATGCTCTGTCGTCCTCGTTGAGGTTTAGATTTTCTATCGGAGATTATTTATCTTCTTTTAGATACGTGCTTAGTTCGTTTTTTGGTTGATTTTTATTGCTGTTATAAGAAAGCGTAACAATTTGTGGATTTATTTATGGTTATATGTTGTTTATTTGGAATGAATGAATGAATTGCTCAGAGAGGAGAAAGCTGAAGAACCAGAACTACCCAAGTACAGAGACAGAGCCAAAGAGAGGAGAGAGGATATAAATCCTGATTATGAGCTTAATGAATTGGGTGCGTTTCATGCCGTTGCTCCCCCAGGCAATGTGGATATTGGGTGAGGCTCCAAAACCTTTTTAAGCTTTTGATTTATTAATAAATCTTCATTTTTACTTATATATGTATTTGCTTGAACATTGGCGTACCATCACATTCAATATGATGATGAATGTTGAGTTGTTTACCTTCATTTTTACCATGTCTGCAGTTCTGCTGATGCTCACAAGTTATCTATTGAGAAGAGCAAGTATCTTGGAGGTTGGTCTACTAGCCTAATATTAAATTCTGGTGGAAAGGATGTTTTCTGCTTTTCAGTTTCCTTTTTTAATGGTTGACAGTAAGATGCTACTGCATTGAATAATGGCTAAAGAAATAAAATAAATAGAACAATTAATATGAATGGAAGAATATGAGTGAGATGGGAAATAGTGATGTGCTGGTAGTAATAGGTGAGAATAATTTCTTGTTCTTATACTATTGCACAAAAATGAATAACCACTGCATAAATTATTAAATTGACATGCCTTTTTGATGGATTGCGCAATCAGGTGATGTGGAGCACACACATTTGGTTAAAGGGTTGGATTATGCTTTACTTCATAAAGTGAGAAGTGAAATAGATAAGAAGCCTGATGTTGGAGATGACCCTGATGGGAAATCTAGGTTCATTTCATTTTTTTACTGACTTTCTGCCATTTTACTTCATCGCTTCATTAGCTATATAAAGTGAATTCAATGCCAGATTACTCTAACATCTTGATTATGAGTTTTGCCTGACTTTTCCCTCTTCTGTATACAGGGCACCTAAGGAAGACCAAACATTGGCTTTCCGCACTGCAACTGCGAAGGTTCACTAGTTTATAGATGCTTCCAAATCTTATTTATCCTATCGTGATTTATCTAGTGATCTATATTGGGACTTGTCTTGCAGTCAGTATACAAGTGGATAGTCAAGCCTCAGACTGATGTAAAGACCAATGAAATGTTCCTTCCTGGGAGGATGGCTTTTATATTTAACATGGTAAGCCTACCAAATTTCCAGTTATTATGGCTATGTATAACTTTATTCTACGTGCATGAGTTAGGTGTTCATGTACATGTATGTCTCAGGAAAGTGGGTTTTCACATGACATTCCGACAACACTTCACAGGAGTAAAGCTGACTGCCCTGTTCCTGAGGTGCTTCTTTCAGTTACCCCCCCCCCCCTCCCCCTCCCCCTCCATTCTTAAATACTCCCTCCATCCCAAATTAAGCTTCTCACTTGCCTCTTTTGAACGTCCCAACTAAAGTTTCTCATTTCTATTTTAGGAAACAATTGGCACTCTTAAATGACAACTATATCATCAAATAGTAAAAATAATACACCTATAACATCACAATGATCATCAATAACCTCATTTAATTATATACTCATCAAAGTTACTTCTCAAAATATACTCGAGTAATCTTATTTAATTATTGTCTAAATAACCATGTCATGTTTCGTTGAGAAGCTTAAGCCGGGATGGTGGTAGTAACTATTTAAGAATATATAGTGTCTTTATCCTCTCGACCATCTATAGCATGACCTTCAATCATCTTTTTACTCTTACTACTTGTTCAGGAAATGGTTACAGTCAGTGTTGATGGTTCCGTCTTAGATAGGATAGCTAAAATTATGACATATCTCCGCCTTGGATCATCTGGGAAAGTTCTCAAGAAGAAGAAGAAGGAAAAAGATGGAAAAGGTTATTGTGTTGTGATTTTCATTCATGCTTACAAGCACTTAATTTGAATTCTTTTATAGTAGTCATTTTTCTGTTTTTGGTAAAACATCATGGTTCCTTTATGCTGCCCTTTTCACTGAATTGTTTGTTTTTGTTTTTTAACTAGGGGGATGTTAGGGCCTTAGGGGTTCTGGGGTGGTGATCGTTTAGGTTAGGTTATCTGAACTCAAATTTGGATGTCCGAGGTTTTAGGGGCTTAGGGATGTAATTTCTTTAGAAATTTTGGGTAGCAAATTTTATCCAAATTCTGAGTGTTTGGCAGGATGAATTAATGAAGAGTGTAGGCAGAAAGACTAGAAGTGCATATTTTGGGACAAATAAGTGATTTTCGTATGCTATGTAGTCAGTTCTGACTTCTGAGAGGCTAAAATGACTGGTGGAAAACAATGATGAGGGGAGATTTTTTCCCTTTATATTATTTGTCCCGAAACCCAAAGCCAAATTTTGTAAATTGCTAGCTGAAATTTTTATCTGGCCCTAACGGACCATCAAATTTGGGTAGGGGCTGGGGTTCAGGTCTTGTTTTTTTCCCCACCCTTGTCAATAGCAGTGCAGGAAACCTTATAGGAAAATGGCTGAGTGTCCCCTTCTCCCCCCATAAAAAAGAAAATAAAGAGATGCCCTTTTCTCTTGTCAGTTAAATACAAATCTCTCTCTTCTAGGGTTGTCTATCTAGACATAATCTGTTTTAAGAACTCTGAAGTGTATGTCTTCAAATTTATATACTTCTAGTTGTGTTCTGACAATATGTTGCACCTTTCAGGAAAAATTTCTGGTTTTGTAAATGGTTACGAAGAGAACAATAATATATCAAAATCTGATGCAATGAAGAACCATATTGACAAAGCAACTGCGTTGCCCGCTCATGAATCTTCTAAAAAGAATCATCACAGTGAGTTTAGGGAGAAACAGGGTCCCTCTGTTGCTAGAGTTGAAGAAGAAGATATATTTGTCGGAGAAGGAGTCGACTATTCTATCCCTGCTGTAGATCCAAACCAGAGCCCTATATCAGAGGATATGGAAGAATCCCCTAGAAATAAAGAGAGAACCTCATATTTCGGTGAACCTGCTGCTGCCTATGCCTCAATTCCATCATCTGAACCACATCATGGTTGGCAAGCGGTGAGCTTGATTGTGTGACAAATCCTTTTTTTCTCCTTTCTACATGGAATTCAAATACAGGCAATATTGTCAAATGGTGACAATGGGGAAATAATGTGACATTCCCCCCATCCACCATTATCCTTGAGCTCGTCTGGTAGGCCTAAAATGGCTGAAATGGTGGAAATGTGGAGGAACCAAGAGAATCTGCTGAATTATCTAAGAGAATAATTAAAATACATACTCCCTCCGTCCCGCTAACAATGGGACAAGAGGGAGTGACACGCAAACTAATAAAAAGTGAGTTATGTGGTTGATATTGAATTGATAAAGTAAGAATAAAGTAAGAATAATTTGGAGCTACACAAATTTTGCCTAATTTGATATGGGACAATCTTAGTGGGACGGACCGAAAAGGTAAAATGGGACAATCTTAGCGGGACGGAGGTAGTATAATACTAAATTAAAGAAATTTCATATAAAATTAGAAGTTTCCATCTTTTCCAATGGAGCCAAAGAACGCTATTTTTGGCTTGGAAATATGATTGAATAAAGCAAAATGGTTCACTAAACTGTCTCGCTTCTTTGTTATGAAAACAGTCAGTCCATCCATTTCAACGCATTTTCACCACGGGTCATCCGGAAAATGTGCTTTAGTACAGGGTAAGGCTGTGTACATCTGACCCCCTTACCCACCGTAGGTGGGAGCCTTTGCGGCACTAGGGTTATGATGATGATGATGATGAACATATAAAATTGGAAATTCCTAACAAATTTCCTTTAGACTTTTGAGGAACAAGAAGTAGAAGTTTTCATAGGGATGGAAGAAATGCATGTGCCTATGAATTTTAATTAAGAACTTTCTCCTTAACCAATGGCCAATGCTTTTAGGGTATTCATTTGCAAGACCAATGTAAGTAAAGCTAAAAGTAACAATTCCATACGTAGTTGATAATGAAAACATGTAGTGCTTAATTTACTTTTAAAATGGGAGAAATTGATACTTTTATCTTTTCTTTCTTTGATAGATAGATGTTACATTTTTTTTTTAAATACATATTTCAAATATTTGTAAGATAATACAGTAGATTCAACCAAACAAGCCATTTCAGCTACTGCTTCATTCATTTTGAGCCTTACTAAACACTCTTAGTGTTCGGTAAAAATCTTGTTGCTAAGACAACATTGAAGGCTACCAAAAATTGACTCAGATTCTAGTTTTACTATTCTCATACATGCCCCATCCCATCATGTAATTCACTGTTAGCAACACCTTTATTTATTTTTCTGGTACAGAATGGGTATGAAGCTGTTCAAGCACAGGCCTTTGGTGGGGTGTATCCACCTGAGTGGCAGGATTATCAATATGCTGAGCAAGTGGGGTATCCAGACCAATACCTCCAGCAGACCTATGATGCACAAACCGGTTCAATCATTCTTCAGGACCCGCAATTCATGACCCAAGAAGAAAAGGATAGAGGTTTAGGGTCGGTGTTTAAGAGAGACGATCAGAGGCTTCAACAGCTAAGAGAGAGAGATGCCCGGGAGAAGGATCCCAACTTTGTGTCTGAGAGCTATTCTGAGTGTTATCCTGGCTACCAAGAGTACAACCGTGAGGTTGTTGACAGTGACGATGAAGCTGATTTGACAAAGATGGATATGGGTGGACGTGTAAGTTTTTTCTTTAATGAATTAAGGTTAATCAATTTTTGACACTTTCTTTAAAAAGCTTAAGAAGTGTTTCCTCATGCTTTCATAAAAGAACATTAAGTGGGTTTTTACTTTTAAAAGCACCTATTTCCATTTCCTGCCTCTAAAAAGCAATTTCTTTCTAAAGTTAGTCATCTCAAACACCCATAAAGATTTAAATGTAGAAAAATAGGATGTTTTGAAGTGATTTGAACATCTTTTCTGTGGAAAATGTCTTACAAGGAAAATAAGTTGATTTAGGTATAATGTATAAAGTTCTATGCATGCACTGATAAAAAATTGAACTGTTTTATGAAAATGACCTGTTTTCAGAAGAGGAAGCCACTTTCCACCGGAGTTAAATAAACATGTATATGAAATTCTAGAGAACAATTTTCTGGAAAATAAATTATTGAAAATTGATTAGTTGTCATCTTATACAGGCAAAAGGACGACTTCATAGGTGGGACTTTGAGACGGAAGAAGAGTGGGCATCATACAATGAACAGAAGGAGGCAATGCCTAAAGCTGCATTCCAGTTTGGTGTTAAAATGCAAGACGGGAGGAAGACCAGAAAGCAAAACAAAGACCACAAACTCAACAATGAGCTCCATAAAATCAGTAAATTACTTGCCCGAAAGAAGATGGAGGAGAAAGGTGGTGGTGGTGGAGGGGACTTCAACGAGGACGACTCTCATCCAGGAAAGAAACTAAGAGTTTGATGTTTATTTCAATTTATTATTATTATTAGCGTGTATTAGAATGTTGTGCCTTCTTTATGAACCTAAGATTTCATTTGCAAGTTATTTTCCCAATCATTTCCTTTTTGGTACACCACGGGCTTATATTGTGATAATGGTATTAATGTATTATTATTATAATTACTATTATTATCAAGTCCACAGTTACAACTCCTACCTTTTATGCCGAACAAACATCTCAGCCCATTTTTGCCCTGTACTTGCATTGAATTAAAGGATACTGAATTACTGATGTTTGGAAAAGGAAATCCCAATTTAGCACAGTATTTTTGACCTTTTCGGTTTCATTCACATACACAAAAATGCTGTTATTTAGGATATTTTTACTTGGATTGAAATTTGCCGAATTTGCTGGTCTAGTCTAAACTAAAAATAGATTTATAATATCATAATAAGTAGTCTTTCTCTATGCTTTATTCTGGTTCTTTATATCATTGTGGCATTGTTGGCTTTGTACAGTTGGTTCGCAGAATTAAGGTTATATGCTGAGTTAAACTTTGTTTTCATGGTTTTGACTTTTGAATGTTTGAGAAATTTGTTTCGGTAGAAATTAATCAGATGTTGGAACAAAAAGACCATTTTTTGTTGCATTAATACGATCTTTTTTTGAAAATTTTACATCTGTCTCATTCAAGTTCACTAAATTTAAATGTAGTTTAATTAACAATTAAATTTTAGAATGAAAAATGATACGGAGTATAGCAAACTAGTAAGAGTACAATTGTATATAATTGTGGGGTCAATGAGTATTACGTGGGAAAGGTTGCAATATTTTGTAATATGTAAAAGTAATTTTATTAATATATCAACCATTGTTTGAATATTCTGATCGACAATTTCTTTTTTATGGACAACAATTTCATTTATATAGACTGACATTAAAACTTTGATTATAACTTCATTTATCATACACATGATTAAGAATAAATAAATCAATACGAGACATACGACCAAAGCCAAACTAGAATTTAACAAGTAGTTTTGTTTTTCAGTTTTGATGTAATTTCTTTACATTTTTCAATGTTTAAGAAACCGGACCGGGATGTGACCCGGCCGCGTGACCGGGTCACGGGTCAACACGGACCCGGTCGGGTCAACCCGGTCAACGCTATAAAAACGGTCAACCATTTAACAATAATAAACATATAATTGCATACAAAATTAAAATAAAAAGTAGTTTTTTCATATTAATCAACTAATAATAATACTAGTACTTACTATACACTTGAAAGTTAAAAGCCTCATAATATTCCAAAATGCTATTTTGATCTTATAAAAATATATTATGATACTCCATTTATTTTTTTATTGGACATTTATTATATAATTTGACATGATTTTTATTCTTAAACAAATAAGTAGTATATAAATATTTTGCATATTTATTATTTTTAGGGTATTGGAATTGCAATTTTATTGGTTAAAAATGCTTTTAAATTTAAAAAAGAAGAAGAAAAAAACAAAACCAAGTTTATCCGGCTTTATCAGGTTTTTCGGGTCCGGGTTTGGACCGGATTATGCCGAATCGGCTGGGTTTTTCCAATTTTTGACCATTTCCGGATTTTTAATTAACCGAACCAGGCTTCGATCCGGGTTGCTGGGTTTCGGGTCGACCCGGCCGGGTCGGGTCGGTTTTTAAAGTTATGTACTCCGTGTGTTCCATATTACTTGTACTAGATGGTATACCTTGTTGATTGGATATAATATAAAGCTAATTCTTCCATGTTAACACAAAATTTGCAAAGTGAAACAAATGACATTCGTACACAAGAAAAATATGAGGTGGATATAAAAACGTGTACAAATGACATTTTGACGAGCACTTTATCACGGTGCGTCAAAATAAATTCAATATTAGCACTAATATGCAGTATAGTGAAGTAGAGTTCGTATTCACAGAGAAATGAATAATTCTCTTTTTAGTAAAACTAGTAAATAAGGGTTTTGGGATAGAGTGATTTAATTTAATTAAATACGAAGATGAACGACTTATATGAGATTTAATTCAAAGATAAAAAGGACTTGACATTGCTACTTTCCACTTATTGATATATTTTAGTCGATCATTGTTATATCTATAACTTATCCACTCTCGAATATTCAATCGAGGAGTATATTCAATTCATCGAGGGTAGTTATTAACAACGACCGTTCATTAATAACCCTTACTATTAGTCAAGTATAGAACACCGCCATATACCGACTTGATAGTAACATTTAATCTCTTAACTCCTTGATGAAATCAATTGAAATTGATAACCTCAACGCAACGGTTTCGGTTTAACCAACAAAATTAATCCCTCTTAAGTTTATTAACCACGACCGTGCATTAATAAACCGAAGTTACTTACTTGTGAAACCATCAAGGATTAACAAGCGTATTCGTCCATCGATTCTAGTAATAATTAATATATGAAAAAAAACTAGTTGATCCTTTAAGTAATGTTCAAAATATTAATATGAAATATGAATAGGAATTAATTAATATTCAAGCAAGAATATTAGATGATAAATCCTACTATAACTAATGTCAAGATGTTAACTAATTGTCATCTTAGCAACACTCCCCAACATTAATATATAGAGGAAGAAAATAAATACTACTATAACTAATGTCGAGATGTTAACTAATTGCCATCTTAGCAACACTCCCCAACATTAATATATAGGAAGTAAATGAATACTACTATAACTAATGTCGATATGTTAACTAATTGTCATCTTAGCAACACTCCCCAACATTAATATATAGATAGATTAAGGGAAGAATTAATATTCAAGGGAAGAAGTTAAGAAAATAACTCACAACTTTAATAATCAACAAACTTCAAGAGCAACACCAAGAAATGGAAGTTTAGCTCCTCATTTGGAGACTAAACATGCTATAAAAATATAAAAGAAATACTATTCTAAGTTGAGCTTAGGAGTATGGAAGGAGTGATTTTTTTGTGAAGGAAAAGGGGTGTATTTATAGGTGTTTGGAGGTGGCAGGGTTGTGTACCCGATCGGGTATATAGGGTACCCGATCGGGTATTTTAGGCAGTTTCCCGGAAAATCACTTTTCTAGACATACCCGGTCGGGTATGTAGGCATACCCGGTTGGGTATGAGCCAAATCTTCAAAATCCTGCATGTTTTTTTTGTCTCTCCAGATTCTGATTTTGACACCCGAATCAACTCAATACCCGATCGAGTATTGCCTATACCCGATCGGGTATATGAAATATTTTCTCAATCTTCTTTTTATCTTGTCCCCTTGCACCTTTCTTGATCTTTTGGGGTCCAATCTTGATCCTTTGGATGATCTTGACCTGTTCTAAGCTCATAATAATCCTAATCTAAACAAATTACATTTATATAGGAAAATAAACTAATTACACCAAAAGTGTGTAACTTTCCAAACAACAACAAATAAAACTAATTAAAATAGAAATAATACATAATAAAAATACAACTTTATAAACTCCCCCATGCTTAGTTTCTTTACTCGTCCTCGAGTAAAGTCAATGTTTCATCAACACTTTAAACAATCATGAACAAGCAAAAGACAACCAAGTAATGTTTAAAATGTGTTTTACAAAGTGAAATGATTCCACTTATGCAGTACACACTTCATGATATTGGGTTTACTTGTCTTCTATGCTTTCCATGTTCCTCTTCATCATTGTATCACCACATCCCTGTAAAAATAATTTCTCTCATTTCTCTCATTTTGCCTAAGATTTTTTTTTTATCCTAGCCTCTCATTTTTTTTCTTTCTCCCCTACTCACTCATTTTTTTTGCTTTTATTGCTTAGATTGCCCATTTGGGTTTTCAACCTAACTAACCTTTTTTATGTTTTTTTTAACAAGAATAAAGAGTATGAGTGTGAGTATTCCATGAAACTTTCTCCCCAAGCTAGCCAAAACACTGTCTCTAGTGCTCATCTTCAAGACGTCATAGAAAAGGAGAATTCGGACTTGGCGTAGGTGGAGTTAAGAAATTCAGATTTTGGATTATTTGGTGGGTTTTGTTGGTATAGAAATGAAAAATGTGGGGAGGATAAGAAGAATATGGGTTTAGTTTGTTGATTTGGTGGATGTATGAAGAAGATATGAAAGTGTGAAATTGTAACTATGGAGGGTTTGGGGTGTTGGGTTCAAATGAGGTGATACGATTTTTTTTTTGAAAAGTGCAAAAATAAAATAAAATAAGTAAACATACCTTGCATGGGTTGCCTCCCAAGAAGCGCCTCATTTAACGTTACGGCACGATGCCATCATTGTGTTCAATCGTTCAAACTTGGATCATGATAATTAATCTTGTTCAACTTTTCATTCCTAGGACATTCATAGAAATGCTCAATTTTCTGACCCTTCACTTTGAGAATCTTTTCAGGATCAAACATCCAGATTTCCATTGATTTATGTGGTGAGAGTGAGGGAAATGAATTATCATTTAACATGGTCAAGAGAAAATATTTTGATCCCTCAATTTTGCTGAAGATTTCAAAAATGTCATTATCCTTTTCATTTTTATGAGTTTCCCTCAAAGTTTGTAGAACTGCTGGGGGTACCTCAAAGAATGAAAAGGGTAGATATTTGACCTTGAAACTCGTTTCATCCTCTTCTTTGACCAGCTGGAGCTCCGTGTCTCTTTCTTCTTCTACTTCTTCTGGATTTTGAATCTTCTTTTGCATTTCCTTCTCATTGGTCAATGTGATTGCAAACGTTTGCTGTTTAGGATCACATTCTATTTGAGAGGGAAGTTTTTCCGAATCCCTTGCTTCATGCCTACTTACAGCTCCGGCTATTTGAATCACTCGAGTTTCCAAGTTTGAAATGCTAGACTTGGTCTCATTTTGGAATTGCACCATGTTGTTTTGCATGGTGGTCATGTTGGTAGCAATAGCCCGGATCATATCCTCCGTAGACATGGTAGATTTGGAGAACGGATCATACCTCATGTGAGGTACATCCCTTTCGTAACCAACATCATCAATTTGTTCAAGGTATTCATCTTGGAGCTTTGGGCAGAAATCCGTAAAATGCCTGTGAGACATGCAAATGTTGCATGTCTTGCAATCTTGAGCTTTTGAGCTTAAGATAAATTCCTTTATTAGAGAAGTCAAGAAGAAAATTTGACTCTCTAAGGATGAAGTGTTGGTATCCATATACTCATAACTCATGTAAGCTCAGAAAATAGAAGAGTAAGATTTTTTTTTTCTTTAATTTTTTTTGTTTTTGATTTTTATGAGAAAAAATAAAAAGAAATATAATTGCCTTTCCCCGGCAACGGCACCAAATTTGACGAGCACTTTGTCACGGTGCGTCAAAATAAATTTAATACTAGCACTAATACGCAGTATAATGAAGTAGAGTTCGTATCCACAGGCAAAAGAATAATTCTCTTTTTAGTAAAACTAGTAAATAAGGGTTTTGGGATTGAGTGATTTAATTTAATTAAATACGAAGATGAATGACTTATATGAGATTTAATTCAAAGATAAAAAGGACTTGACATTGCTACTTTCCACTTGTTGATATATTTTAGTCGATCATTGTTATATCTATAACTTATCCCCTTTCGAATACTCAATTGAGGAGTATATCCGATTCATCGAGGGTAGTTATTAACAACGACCGTTCATTAATAACCCTTACTATTAGTCAAGTATAGAACACCGCCATATACCGACTTGATAGTAGCATTTAATCTCTTAACTCCTTGATAAAATCAATTGAAATTGATAACCTCAACACAACGGTTTCGGTTTAACCAACAAAATTAATCCCTCTTAAGTTTATTAACCACGACCGTGCATTAATAAACTGAAGTTACTTACTTGTGAAACCATCAACGATTAACAAGCGTATTCGTCGATCGATTCTAGTAATAATTAATACATGAAACAAAACTAGTTGATCCTTAAAGTAATGTTCAAAATATTAATATGAAATATGAATAGGAATTAATTAATATTCAAGGAAGAATGTTAAAGATGATAAATCCTACTATAACTAATGTCAAGATGTTAACTAATTGTCATCTTAGCAACACTCCCCAACATTAATATATAGAGGAAGAAAATAAATACTACTATAACTAATGTCGAGATGTTAACTAATTGTCATCTTAGCAACACTCCCCAACATTAATATATAGGAAATAAATGAATACTACTATAACTAATGTCGAGATGTTAACTACTCCCTCCGTCCCAGAAAATTCTTCCAACTTTCCTTTTTGGGACGTCCCAGAAAAATCTTCCAACTTCACCTTTTTGATTATTTGTGTGGCTCACATTCATTTCACCTTTTTCTGACACAACTACAACCACACATTTCCACTTTATTCCCACTTTCTTAAACTCCGATCCAAGTCAAAATAGGAAGAATTTTCTGGGACGGAGGGAGTAATTGTCATCTAAGCAACACTCCCCAACATTAATATATAGATAGATTAAGGGAAGAATTAATATTCAAGAGAAGTCAAACCTTTCCAAAGAACTAATTGTCAGACCTTGACTTCTTGGGTCTTGGAATTTCAGAGAAAATCTTTAACCAAAGAAGTCAAGCCGGCAACTTGACTTTCCAACGAGGTGTCGGATTCCGCCGCCATCACACGCTTTTTTGATGATCTCCCGCTATAGTGTCTCGAGTTTTCGGCAAACTCCGAGATGAGGTCTCTTGCTTGGGAAGGTGTTTTGTTGACTATCCCTCCCCCACATGCGGCGTTGATCATACGTCTATCATCATTGCAAAGACCATCATAAAAGTATAGGATGAGGTCTTGCTCCGAATAGCCGTGGTATGGACAGCTTGCACAAAGCTTTTTGAACCGTTCCCAATATTCATAGAACGATTCATCATCATTTTGCACGGGATAGTACCTTTCGAGGAAGGCTTTCTTCATGGCCGCCCATGTACCTATACTTCCCGAGGGAAGATAGAATAATCAATCCTTAGCGTTGTCTTTGAGGGAGAATGGAAAAGCCCTCAACTTGATTTGTTCCTCGGTAACTCCGTTGGGGCACATGCTTGTGCACACAACATGGAATTCCGATAGATGTTTATATGGATCCTCCCCTCTTAAGCCATGGAAGGAAGGAAGGAGATGAATGAGCCCCGATTTTAGCTCAAAAGTATTACCTTCATCAAGGGTGGGGAAGGTAATACATAGCGGTTGTTGATTCAAGTTTGGAACGATGAGCTCCCTCAATGTTCTTGTTTCTTGAGCCATAGTGATTGGCTCTTCAGATTCGCTAGAGCTAGAGCTAGCGTTTGAGGATTCCTCCGAGGGTGTGTGCGGAAATAAATTTCTCAACCTGTCGAAGGCTTGTTCTATTTCGGGGTTTGCTTGATAAGTTATTTCGTTGATTGAACGATATCTGACCATATACTTCACAAAGCTCAGAAATAGAAGAATAAGAACTCTTTATATTTTATTTAATTATTTTTTTTTTTGATATTTTTCTTGAAATAAATAAAAAGAAAAATAATTGTCTTTCCCCGGCAACGGCGCCAAATTTGACGTGCACTTTGTCGTAGTGTGCACTCAAAATAATAATCAATACGACACTAATACGTAGTATAGTGTAGTAAGGTTCGTATCCACAGGGAAATGAACACTTCTCTTTTTATAGAAATAGATAAGTAACAACCGGGGTTTTTTATGTTTGGTTGATGAACTTAAGTTATATTTAAGCACGAAGATGAACGAGTTATGTGATTTAATTAATGAGAAGGAGACTTGACTTTGCTTTTATCCACTTAATGAAATGTTCATCGATCCCGGTTATATCTTTAACTATCTTCCTCTCGAATACTCAATCGAGGAGTATATCCAATTCATCGATGGTAGTTATTAATAACGAGACGCGTTCATTAATAAAACTTACTACCGAATCAATATAGAACACGCGCCGTATATTCATTCGATAGTAGCAATAAAATCAAGATGAAAACGATTGAGATTGAAAACCTCAACACAAGCAGTTTATTGGTTGAATCAATATAATTAATTCCCCTTAGATTATTAACCATGAGACGCATGCATTAATAATCCAAGTTTACTACCGTGAAAAGACCGAATTAATAACAAGCGTATTAATCGACCGATTCTAGTATTCATTAATATATGAAACAAAACTAGTTGATCCTTTAAGTAATGCTCAAAATATTAATATGAAATAGGAATAGGAATGAATTCATATTCAAGGAAGAAGATTAAAGAAAATAACTCACAACTTACAATTCATTAAGCTTCAAAGTAGCAAAACCAAGATGGAAGAGTTTAGCTCCTCATTTGGAGACTAAACATGAAGAAAATATAAAGAAATAACTTGTCTAAACTGAGCTTTGAAGTATATAGGAATTGGTGATCAATTGTGGAGGAAATGAGGTGTATTTATAGGCTTTTTAGGCCTGCAGGGTCGTGTACCCGATCGGGCTTTCTGCTCACTCGATCGGGTATAAATTGTGGCTTCCTCAAAGCTGGAAAATGGGGTCATACCCGATCGGGTCTGTCGGTTACCCGATCGGGTATAGACACTCGATCGTGGTCAAAATCTCCCCTACATGTTGCCTTGTTCCCGGGTTGATCCGATTTGATTTTTCAGCGATTTACCCGATCGGGTATAGGGCATACTCGACCGGGTACAACACAAAAATTCAGAATCTTTATTTTGTCTTGAGATTTTTGCACCTTCCTTCCACTTGTGATGTTCGCCAATGGTCCCTAAAGTGTTCTTGGACCTGTGTGAGCTCAGAATGAACCTAATCTAAACAAATTACAAATATTTTACAAACTAAACTATTACACCAAAAGTGTGTAATTTCCAAAGTAACAATCAATCTAAACTAATTAAAAACACAAATATAAACATGGAAATTACATGAATGTCACATATCACAGGATAATCAAGACCACCACAAATGTAGTTATTGTGGTGATCATCATCGAAGCCGCCGCAGGCAATTGGTCTCATCGTCATTGAAATATTTGTGGAGATGAGGTCGAAAGAATTCCACAAATTTAGAAGCTCAACATCCGGTTAAGATTGAGACAGCCATTGTGTAGACTATCAGCAGCAACACTAATTCAGTGGGTGAAATTTCATAAGTTGAGGCTGTTGAGCTTATACAACACAGTGCATACAGTACTTCCACAAAGCTATACAGTTCTCTCAGAAACTGGCCCTTTTGCTTGTGTTTTGCTATTTGACTTGACATTTCTAATGTTATACTATCATATATGATATGATTAGTTTTTGCAGCCCCACTTTACAGCTGAATTCCAATTTGACCCTTTCGCCCCATCATTTAACATCTGAGAGTTGAATAAATTTTCATCAGATTATAATATATTCTGATAGATGGGCTGAAAAGCAATATACACACTCCATGTGTGTGTATAATAGTGATATAGGTAGATCTTAATGCACAGTTTTCTTAAGAAAATCATGTAAACTTTGTCACTACCACGAAAAATGGTCTAATTTCACATCCATCATAAATACTCCCTCCGTCCCGCTATTAACTTCCTGCTTTCCTTTTTGGGACGTCCCAAAATCATCTTCTCATTTCCCTAAATGGAAAGTTATCCTACATCAAAACAGTGTCAAACAGTGCCAAACAGTGTCGAAACAGTGTACTCTACAGTAAAGTCAAATTTATTTCCTAAATATGTGTGAGGGTCAAAGTAAAAAGTTAATAGCGGAAGGGAGGGGGTATAATATAGTTGTGCATTAAAGTGAATTTAATGTCGCTAGGGAATCACTAACCTCATACTGACATGCTAAATGGAATTCACTTTACCCAGTCTTTTCTGTAGCAGCGGGAATCCAGCTGCACATCCGAAGTACAAATGGAGTCTGCACACTTTGACATACACTCACATGCGCACACATATAAACAAGGACAATTATAGTTGGAACACCATTTTATACTACTCTTAGTAGGTAGTCCATCTCACTATTAAATAAATAAGTTCTCTCTTGTGTGAGTTCTAGATGGATTGACTACTAAGAACAATACCGAATGGTAGTCCAGATACCATTTCCAATACTGTTCCCGTCCTGTAGTATTCATTGGCAGCGGAATAAGTAACCTTTGACTTACTTATTTGGCTGGACCCGACGTCTCTAACCCTATTCATTTCAGAAAATTCAATAGTAGATTCAGCCATTTCATCCAAATATCTCATACCAAACGGGGATTAAGTCAGTATCCACATGATTAATCCTTCATGGCTCTAGACACTTTCTTTGTATCTCCTGGGAATAGACAATGAGTGCCAGCAATAAAGCAAAGGCAAGACCAGTAGCCCCACTAAAGGGTTGAAAAGAGTAAGCCCCAGTAAACCATGGTGGGAACTTGGATTCAGAAACCAGAAAGCCTCCCATCTTCAAGAAATTATTACAAGCCAATATTCCTGTGCGTACCCCTATGGTAAGAGAGAGGCTTCCTTGATTTCTTTTCCGAAGCCCGGAAAGGGCTAGTGATAACATCCATAGGCCAGGCACTGCCCATGCTGACCTAAAAATCATTCAAAGACAGATTAAGGTTATGATCTACTTGAACATATTGTAAATGATATGTTTGGGTCCATGAAAAATACCTATGAAATGAAAAACTGAGGGATTTTTTTCCTGTGTTTAATTTTACTTCAAAATATGCAAAGATAAATGAAATATGATTAATGTTTTCAAAACATTGTTTCATGTTCAGATTTCAGAGTCCTATGTAAAAAAAATGAGTTTGAACAAAATACAAATATCGAAAACAAATTTAATGAGTTTATGAACAAATATTTATTTTAGCCCACATTTTCTTTTCTTCCAAATTTCTGCATTTTCTTCCCTATTTTCTTTCCCTAGCATTTTCTAAGTTCCAAACAGACCCCAAGTGTCCTTGGTGAAGGGAAGATTTTAAATGAAATAGGACAGTCATGTTTTCCCCCTAAATATGAGTAATTACTACATTATGAGCTTTTAAACATGGAAGTATTTTTAGTCAATAAAAACATGACAGTCCTATTTTGGAATTCCAAAACGTTTTAGTCTTATTTCAGGAGATTTCCCTCTTTAAAATGATTATCCATGTTTAGATTTCTGAGTCTATATAATTAGAAGCAGATAAACAAAATGAGTTAGAACATATGCCGAAAAGAAATTTGTTAAATTTGAACCAATGTTTAATTCCCCCTACATCTTCTTTCCTTCTAAATTTCTCCTGTACTTTGCTTAACATTTTCCATTTCACACTATAATGTGGTTCTACTCTGAGAACATCACATATTCAAAATATCATTTTTGAATTTTGAGTGTGTAAAAGAGAATCATCTATGGGTTTCTTGAATAATTAATTTCGTGCAAGTACTGTATCAAAACAACTTCATGACAACCAGGAGTTCAGATTAATACATTCTTAAATAGAACGAAAATTAATATTCCGAAACTTTATTACATATGATATAACAGTTTTTGGATTGTTGTCACGTGTATGTTTAAGTTTAACTGATCACAGTGAAGGGTGAATTATCAAATACATGTGGCGACACTCTAATAATTGGATATATTTATTTAACCTCAATTCCTAAATATAGCATTTGTTAGACACCCATACGAAATTGTGTTTACAACAATCATGTTTTCTTTGAAGCAGGTTTTCATCTTGAAGGTAAAACAACACTTTAAAGGCAAAATCTGCAAATGTAACAAAAAGGATAGTGTTTTGGACAGTCAACTTGAAATATACCTTTGGAATACAGAAAATGCAAGTCCTGAAATGATTATTCCTCGACTGTATCCGAGTTCAGAAGCAATTTCATCAGACAACCATGATCTGAAAAGTAATTCCTCAACAATTGCAACCCCTGTTGCAGTTATTACTCCTTGAAAAGCTAGTATAGCCATCTGACTGAATACTTTCAGCGATGATAGAGCAGCGGAAGGTGATGAGGAAAGAGTGATTGGCATTTGGAAATGGACACATCCAAGAAGGGAGTTTACTGAATAAATTAGTATCACAAGAATAATTCCGCCAACCAAGCCCTTTAGAAAATTTTGAACCTGAAAAGCATGATATACATCTGATGAGGCAAGTCATATTGTTTCCTAGAGTCTTAGATTCCAATGGCTAATGCTCTAATCGCAATAAAAGAATCATGTTTGACCAATGTACAACTTTGTAATCCTGGTAAAGTACAGCAGTCTAATCATAAATATAATTTTTTTTGTTGGTTTAAGTAAAGTTATCATTGTTTAACAAATTACACGGAAATAGCTTCATTTCATCAAACTGGATTCTTTTTTGGGGAGAAAACAAAAGGAGTTTATTTTTTTACCGAGCGAATATGGCAAAACAGTGTTCAATAGACAAGCACAAGTGTGGGAAGAAACATGGCTATAACGTTTGGCATCATAACATTATATTTGGATTGAAATATTTCGATGTAAGGGCCTCTTTCCATGCTCCATACAAATGATATGAAGATTGGTTTCCAACCACCCATCCCCCATAACCAGGAATACAGTTTTACTGTTTATTTTGGAAGATTTTCATGTTCTTAGAATTTCTCTTGTCAGCTTTAGGTTCCTGGAGAAAGATGGATACCAATAGTAGTTGATGTCTTCAGAACCAACTAAAAGACATCCGTAAGAATGTTCCAAATTGAGTGCTTCCTCTGCAAACCAATTTACAGGAAACAAAGTTTGAAATACCTTCAGCAGTGAAGTCAGATCCAGCCCATATAGTTCAAGTGGATTTTGGTACCCGCGGATTCTTTTCCCCCATAAAGTAACTAGTAGGACAATGGAGATATAGAGTCCAAAAATGCATATCAGTTCTGCAGTTTTGGATGGATTTTGGGTAGTCCAGCTATGAACAAGTGTTGGTAGCAAAGGTATGACAACAGGTGACCATAAAACAAGCACCATACAGATAAATGCAAGAATCCTGAAGCAAGGTCAAAGAAAGAGCTTTCAGTGAATTAGAAGATTCAGGGCAGGGGTGTTGTGGAGATCTTTTACTAACCTCAGTTCCTTACAAAAGTTTATGTCTTCCTGTTCTGTCCATCCCTAAATAAAGTCACCTTTCCTTAAATAGTAAAAGTACAAGTCTTGCCTTACTTCACTACCCTCAAATGAGGGTCTCTCATTTGATATCCCACTGTCTCACCTAACAAAATTAGTTACTCCTAACCACTTAGCACAAGGGCATTCTTTGATGTCAAAGGAAAACAATTTGATTTATTAAAAGTTTCACATTCCAAGTGCTTGAGGTGGACACGTATTTTGGTTAGAAATATACGTTTCTCTTTAGATAGGTCACAACTGGTATAAAGTTAATAAATGGTACATGAGATCTAAACTCATCATTTAAGTTAGTATTTTACCTCTGGAAAAAAGGACGTTCAGCAACGCGCAGAAATGAAATGAGCTTATCAGTAAGACTCATAGCACCACGTAATCCACCCCAAAGCAATGCAAATTTTCCAATAAACCTCAAAACACCACCCTTCTGTCCTAACTCTGCCAGCATTGCCACCAGCCTGTGAATCAATGAAATATTAATTAGCTGGTCTTTCAGAATAATCATTAATACGAAAGCAAATAATAAACTGTTTGAGAATGCATAACCTTTCTTGATCCACTTCACCATCCTTTGTAGGTACCACCGGACTAGCAATAGACATTGCTTTCTCAGCAAGACTTGTGACTACGTTGTCCTGGGGTTTATCCACATCCTCAAGTGTAATAGTATTTTTGTTTACATCTTTTCCACTGTGATTGGAAGAAATTTCAGTCTCTTCATCCTTCAAGCACATATATACTAGATATTAAGCATCTTTTACAGAGAAAGGGACAGTACATACATACTAAGAAAATAACCAGAGCAAGAATCTTTGACTGCCTAATTAACTAAGCACAAGCTGTTATTTATCCTCTGTCAACAGTATGCCTTTAGGCTGTTATCTATCTGTTACAGCAAATACATACTAGTAAAATAGTCAGACCAAGATACCTTTAGTCCTTTACAATTTTGTTGCCTATATAATAACTAAAACTTGATACTTATTGGTCATCATGTCAATCAGCATTATGAATTTAAGATGTCAATTGGGAAAATTAAAGAGAACACTTGGCCAATCCTCACACTAAAATCCTTCCCTGTTTCAGGGAAATTTTATGGAATCCTATATGAGTCCACTATGGAGTCATATAGCACATGTGGCATCATCACAACCATTCATTTATGAAATAGGGTCCTCCAGTAAAAAAATGAATGGTTGATATGAGGCCATATGAGCTATATGACTCCATAGTGGATAATATAGGGCTCTATAACAAATTTGCCCTGTTTCAGGAATTTAAACATCAAGGCTTTGATCAAATTATCTTGATAGCTATTTTCTTCAGCATGTACAACATCAGTAACTCAAAGTGTGTTCCTAATTGGCTCTACAGAGCAAATGTTGTTGATAATATGCTTTGCAAAAGTAGTCTGAAAAGGTCACAAGTATGCACCAACTGATGCAGATACTTTGAAGCAGGTGGCAATCCCACATATATCAATAACAATGTTACTTCGACCAATTTAAAGTAATATGAAAGAGATAGGTGACCTAAGTTAAATTGTACCTGATGATGGGTGAGCAGTGCAGATGCTCCTAAAGCTGCAGTAACAGCTCCAACCATAATAGATTTGCTTGAATCCCCTGAATCTTCTCTACTTGCTATTCCGGGCTTGGTGACCTTGGTCATATTTTCAGAATCAACTCTTCTACCAATCATGAGACCAGGACTCTCCAACTCATTTTTCTGATTAGTATTCAAATTAGGAGCAATATCAGACCCCTTTTCATCTTTTGGGTTTTTATTTATTTGATCAATGATCATGTCATTGCCTTTGCCATAATTCTGAACTGTAGAGGATTTTCCTAGTGCAGCCAGGAGTGAGCCAACAATAACCCCAACAGGCAATACTCTTTGCAAATAGCTGGTATTCTGAACAGCAGAGGATATGACCTTTACTACATGTTCTGCATGAAGGGTACCAACTTTCTCTGAATCACAGTCCTTGAGTTTTGTATTTAATGCAAGTGTGCCATCAAATCCTATTCCTTGAGAAACAACATTTGCTATGTGTTCCAGATCTCTAGAAAGTTCAGTTTCCATTCTCTCCATGTCAGCAGAACTTAGCCTTCGGCCTACTTCAACCTTTAAAGTGTCCATAATAATACTTCTGATACTGTCAGAAGGCTTTTCTAATTTTTCATCACCAACTTTAATATATCCATTAGATTTTTCAATTGTTTCATGCCACTTCTCAGAATCTAAAACTGCATAAGATAGTTCATTGTTTATATCCTTGGATCTTGGTCGTAAATACCAACCTTCATGAGATGCAACATTATTGTCAGAATTAGCATCATTTTCTGTATACAAAACTTTTGTGGTATGTAGTGACTTAGATATTGCTTCTTTTTCTTTGTAAACAGAGCTTCCTAGACAACCTTTTATAGTATAAAATGGAACATTTTGAGAAACAGTATTTAAGTACTTAGCGGAATCCTCTACAGACAGTTTTGCATTGAAAACCTCTTGCCTCTTTCCCTCATTTTTTTCTGCAGAGTGCTTCATATCTGATACACTTTCACCAAGAATCATATGCTTCTCTTTCATTTTCTTTTTAGAGCGTGATTGGTTATTTGAAGGAATAGCATCGGAAGGTGGTGTGCCAGCATACTTATTTTTTCCCTCAATTTCGTCCAAACCATTATTGTCTCTATTACCCGTTTTATTGTCAGCATTTTTCCCATCCTCTAGGCGGGTAATCATATCCTCCAGCACATGAAACACACTATTAACTGCCACCTGAGTCGAGTCATCTATTCCTGTCAAGGCATCTAATGCTTGAGAAGCACTAAAGACTGGTGAATTGGGTAAACTTTGGTTTGAATGTGTTTGCATCCCTTTTTCTTCTCTCTTCATGTAATCCCCGTCCATTTTTTCCATCACTTGGGTCTCTGAGGGAGTAGCAGGAGATATTTCTTTTTCCACTATCTTTGGCTTAGTACTGTTCTGATAACTAGAAGATTGACCAACATTTTCTTCCTTTGTTTGACTAGAACTCTCTCCATTAAAGTCCATCTCAATTTTTGCACCATCTTGCATTTTGTATTTCTCTGAGTCCATATTTTCATTCGCAGACTCCCTTTCAGACACACTTGAACTCTTCGTTTTTTCTCCTGTTTTTGATTCATTTTCCCTGTTACTAAAATCCAAACCAGTTTTATCAGGAATATTAGCATCATCATCTTTATGTAGTAAATCACTCATTTCCTTTGTTTCCATATCAGAAAAGTTATTTGATGGAGACTGACAGGTATTGTCCGATCTTTTCCAATCTTCTGAAGTCCGCCATTCTGCTTCATGTATCCCAGAGTGATTGTCTGCACTATATGCATGCTTGTTTGAGCCATTAGGGAAATCTCCCGCCTTCACCTCATCCGAAGTATAAGACGATTCATTTTCTGCTTCTAGACTTGAATCTCCTTTAATGTTTTCCTGGATAGTTGAATTTGACCTGGAGGTTACATAAGGAATGGGTTTGAGAGCCAGGAGACGATCCAATTTCAAGTCAGAGCCTTGATTATTAACAAAATCAGAAACCGTGTTTGTAAGTTTTCCACGAACATCTTCAGGTACAGCACCTTGCAGAGCATTCATCAATGTTTCCCCTTGATCAACAGCAGTCAGAACCTGGATGAAAATGACTATTCACTAGGTTCATAAAGTTACAGAGTGAGTAAAGTTGAAGAAACTTTCAGCAAATATTTAAGAAAAGCTTCTTCTTCGCACTGGCTTGCTTTAAACTTTCTGGCTGGATCCCAGCATAAGAGGAGGAAAAATCATGTGAATAGCCTAAGTAAGAAAACACTTATAAAGTGCCATGAAGCTAGACTAAACTGATGGGATTTAATACCTTCTTCTTTTGTTCTTCTGTAAATGCATCAGACATAGTCACATCAAGCATGTTCATAACCACCTGTGCAGCTTGTATCATTCGGACTCTATCATCATCATCATGACCCATTGCTTCCTCTTCCCCAGAGTCTGCAACGCTACGACCAGATACTAATTTGTCATTATCCTCATGCAATAACAAGCCTGTATTTTGGCTTGCTGCAGTGTTTCTTTCAACAAATGTCTTTTCGAAAGGCTCTAGGATGTGCCCATCTGAAGAGTCTAAACTTTGAAGAGTTAAATTCTTTTTTACTCTAGCACTTGCATCAGGTGATCTCATCAACATGGCTGGGACACTTGAAGGATTAATGGTAACATCAAGATCTTGTAAAAGAGGGTGGTGACCTTTTAAAAGACCAAGCTCCACAGCAGCCATCCACTGCCACACCAGACATTTGTCCATTACAGAATTTTCTTTATTGTGTCTAATTAATTTAGTATGTGATTGGGTACAACACTATCGATCCTTTACCTCCATGGCAAGATTCTGACACCAAGATATAGTTGATCTATCTCGAATGGATTCGGTAAACAGGAAGTGGTTGCACAGAAGCTGGCTTGTGAATGGGTTTTGAGCTATTGAACTTTGTGGAACAGAGAACAATGGAACAGACCTGTCATTGTTCTGGAAAATCACAAATACACAATGTTTTACTGCATATATCTTTCGGGTGAAAATCTAGTGATATTTTCTTCTACATTCATTTATGATTATCATCCACCAATAGTGATGAGGGGATTAAGCAATCTCGTAATATTCACTAGGAATCTGATGTTCTATACCAGGTAAAGCAGCAATATGGTTTTGAATAACACCACAACAAAAAGGATTAGCAAAGAAAAGTGGAACATCCTAAATTATCAGAAAATACAGAGTGGGAGGAGAAAGCAGTAGTCCCTGCCTGTCTCTATAATATTTCCTAGTATAGAAAGCTGACTCCAACAAGAAACAAATGAAAGCCTATTTCTGATATGCTATACATCAGAAATAAGGTTTGAACCATGAAGTTTCACAACAAGGGCTTCGAAAGAAAGTTGTACCTGAATAAATAGAAGAGGAATCTTAACTCTTCCAATCAGATCTCTTGTACTAGATTTTGCATAAAAATCCTCTATGGAATTATACCCATGTGATACAGTAGATATTTCTTTCTCAAAATCACGAATACATGTTGATAGAAGAGCCTTTTCAACATTAAAACCTTTTTTGCGTCCTTGGAATAGTTCCTATAAAGTGGTAGATAAACGTTACCAAATATAGGACAAGTCGTACCAATATTCCTTTTTAAGATTTTAGAGAACTATGTTTTTGGTGGTGCTACTACTTCTTGAACCTGTCTTATATTATGTGTTCGAATGCAACTAAACATGTATCATGTATGATGGACTTGGATTCTCTTAAAAGAGGGTTAGAACATCAAATACTCCCTCTTGTCCTGTTTATAAACCATATTAAGGTTGTCTTATATATAGTTCACTTTAGCATTAATAATACACTTAAATGTTTATAAAACATTTTAAGGTTATCTTAATTTTTCTTAAAATGTTTAAGGGCATATTAGAAAATTGAATATTACTTAAAATGTTTTTAATTATATTATTGATCTTTGCGGAAGAAAAAAATGTGCTTGTAATGAGGAAATAAGAGAGGAATTGAAAGAAAGAAAACCTATCAAGGGAAATAAGTACCATGTTAGATTGCAGAATATTGACCAATCCAGGAGTTAGCTTCTGGTTTAAGTGAGAAGATGCTCTTGTAGCCTCTTCTAGGTCAAAAGGGTTGTCAACACAAGTAGCAGCCATGAGTGGTGTTTCTCCTTCAGCTTCAGCCAGGTACTTTGTCAGCATGTTTGCGCCATAACCCCAGCCAATGCCCATTAATGTTGACCATGGCCTTCTCTTCTTGATAAACTCAATGGTTGTGGAGATATCATCGCTGTCAGCAGCTGTAAATAACCTACAAAATAAAATTGTTAACATTTCCTATAATCATCATATTGCAGTAGGGGTGCAGCATGTGACCAAATCTTAGAAGTACGTGTTTGATTGATCTCATTTAACATAAATATTTCTTCCTATAAAAAAGAAACAGTAAATTTATTAAATTCTTAAGAGGGTCAATGCGACATGATACAAAATCATACGATGAGTTCGTGCATCAAAGAAACTATATGCTTCCAAATTTGAAGAAGCAATGCAACATGTCCTATTTAATTTGAGTCGGAACCCAATGAGAGAATCACATACACCAAAAATTTTACTATCGAGTTCAGTATATAAATAAACAAATTTCTAAAATGTAAATAGAGAAGTTTGACAGAGCACAATGCTACCAAGCATACATTGGATACAGGAGAAAAAAATGAGATAAATTGTATATTGATTTTCCTTTAAAGAAATTGGATATGATTTCTAAATTCAGGATTTTAAAGTTGTCAACTAAGTGCCAGTATTAAGACCCGGGGTTCCATTCTAAAATGTCAATCTAATAAGAGAAGTAGCCCAAAGCCTTATATAGTGTTTCATTGTAGGACAAATACTTTAACGGCCAGCATTGCTCAAAATCCAGCCACCACACTAAATATCAGGAACAAAACAGTCATGACTGACAAAATATCCTATAGAAACACATATCCTGTGATAACACATCGCCATATGAATGACCAAAAGATAAGAAATATAGAGTATACTGACCTTGCTGTAGTCAATGGAGAACCAGCACAACCCCTGGGATTCATGACAACTGGGAAACACCCTCTCCTCAAACATTGGCATACAAATGCCCTAATATCCTCGTCCATGCTTCCCTCAGCTGTTCCGGGAACTATCACTAAGGTGGTGTCCAATCCACACTCCTCCAAGTCCAAATTTGCTGGCCAGTCCAATGACACCACACCTCCATCCTCCATGTTTATACACAGCCTCTGGTAGACCAACTTCTCATCAAATTTCTCCTCGCCCATCCCAACCTGAATTCTACCACTAAAAAGTCTCACGAAATGGCTTTGTTCTCTCATCAGACTCTCATTTAAATTCTCCAGCAATTCTCCCCCCATGAACGAAACAGAAGGACACCGCAGCATGACAAACCGATTAAACGGCGTGGGACTGGTCATCAGTACCCACTCGCCAATTTCTGAAACTGAGCCTTCCTGCGGAACTCTACGAACATTTGAATCTCCGCGGAAACGCGCGAGGTAGAGAGCGGCTCCGGAAGCGAGACCAAGGGCAGGAGCGATGACATCGAGCGAATTCACGAAAGGAAATTGAACGATTAAATTGTCGAACAGAGAGCGGAAGGGTGAAGGTGAATGAAATATGTTGCATCGGACGGTGACTCCTGGGCGCTTCCGTCCACGGCGGTCTCCTAGCGTCCGGTTTCTGCATTGCCGGAATGGAATTGACGGTGAGAGGTTCCGGGAAGGCGTTGACGCCAGTTGAGCGTTAGGCAAAGTGAAGCTCATCTACTGGCCGCGCACGAATTACGGAAACGAAAGGGCTTTGCCGTTTTGGTGTCGGGGAGAGAGCGGACGGCGGAAACTGTCTGAATCAGGAAACATCTACGAGAAGGAAGATTGATGAAATTGAGGAGTACGGGTAGTGGGGCCCTGTCCCGTTACGCTAACGGTTGAGGATGAATGGCGGGTCCTGCCAAAGTTGCCGCATCTGGTTCGTTGAAGTTCGCGCCATAGCTCGATGGGCTGAAATTAAATTCCAGCCCAAGTTTTGTTGGGCTCGTATTTGTGTTCATGGCTCATTGGTGTTAAGAATTAATTAACACAACACGAAGAACATTAATAAAGAACACACAAAATTTGGTAACTCAGTTCGCCACAAAGGATTACGTCTTGGGGCGCTACCAAGTCAGGAATTGCTATTAATTTTCGGATCAAGTGATTACAAGGGAGAGAGCTTGTACTTATAGAGAGTAAAACTTAGCCTCTAAACATAATAGGACACGCGCGCGAGGCCCACATTTGTACGGCCCAAAACTATACGGAAACTCGCGGCTCTTCAGAAGGATAGGTCTTAGTTATACAATCTCTAACACCTTACAATTGGATTATTGGTGAAGAGTTTTCCAATATTCCAAGTTAGGTGATTATTGCCATAGCATCTATGAATCAATATTGGCAACGGGCGGTACAATTCAGGATTGTTCAATATTTTGCCGAACTCATACTCGTATCGTGATTATTAAAATGATTTAGTTCGGCCTTAGATCTAAACTTGTTCGGTACCATTTCATTTTCAAATGGGACGGTACTATACCATACCAATACGAAACAATTCCTCTTTTTTGAACTATCTAGGATAAAAAAAATAAAGTTAGCCATAATCCATAACTCCATACAACTTATCAATTTCCATATTGCTTAGTACATAATTAATAAATTTGATATAAACTCTAGTAGTACAATACATAAATCAGGAGTTATGACTTTTAACTTAAAATACTAAGCATCGCAACTGCAAACTCGGATTAGGGACTTACAAAATTGATATTTACTGGAGTAGAAGTCTTACGGTATTAGGTACTCCGTCAAGCAAAATTATTTATTATACTGGAGTAATAGTTAATAAAGCAAAAGAGGCACTCTGTATTAGGGACTCAAGGTATACATCTATGTTAAACTTATACTTCAATACGGCTCGGTCCGGTACTGGTTCTTATTTTATGAGAATTGGTCATGAAATGGTTTGAAACCGTACCGGTACAACACGGTTCAGGATAGAAATTTAGAGATCCATTTGAAACCCTCTTTTTCGGTTCGGTATCATACCGATCCGTTTCGATACCATTTCAGTTCGGTATTTTTTGTCCACCCGGGCACTAACAATCACACTAAAAAATCGGAATGGTCAAAAGATGATAGGAATAACACCAATTTATTTTTCATAATATCCTTTAATGAGAAAATGTTGATTGCAAACACTTTCTAGTTTGAGGCATCATTGTGTTACTCTCAATAAGGAGGTCACACGTCCGAAACTCATTCTACTCAAGAGAGTTGACATTTAATAGAACATATACTATAATATGTGAGAAAGTATAGTAAAAGAAAGATAAAATGGATTATAAAATTGTCGTGGTAACAAAAAAATATTTTGAAAATGATGCCACTTATAATCTACCTTGTCAACTTACGTTTCACGTGCAGTAAGAATAACTCAATTCTTTGTCACCATCATGATCATCACTGCGATTACAGGATTATGTTTAAGAAAAAATGGTGTCTATATTACTACTAGAGTTTTCATTTCCAAAAATATGACAACTTTTAGGTTTTCCAGAAATATGGAGACTCATTGAAACACTCCAGCGACTAACCATCCTCTGTATTTCAGTCGCCCCATCTCCCCCCCCCCCAACGAAAGTCGCCGCATCTTCTTCGCTCCCATCGAAGCATCATCAAACCAGAGCCGAAGCATCCAGCAAACTCGGAACTCCGCAGCATCTCCATCGCCTGACCCTGCAACGCCGCCATCTCCACTAGGCCAACCAAACCTTGAGTCGTCATGAGCTCGTTCGCAACCCTCCCTTACATTCCAGAAGCTGGAAGAACAGATTTGGTTTGCTTTCCATTCGATTCGTTTTGATTTCCATTCGATTCATTTCCGTCCTCGTTCGATTCGTTCTTCATCGTCTTCGTCCTCCCTCTTCTTCTCCTGCTTTCTTCTCGTTCAACGATGGTATGACTACAAGCTGGTGGCTAGGTTTTGGGATGCGATGAAGGCAGAGGATGGATCTAGGAGGCTGGGAGGGGATCTGAGGATAGGAGGGGGAGTCTGCAAGGGTTTGGGGCTGGGGAGGGAGTAGGGGAGCAGAGGAAGGGGACTGTGGGGGCTGTGGCAGGGAAATGGAGGGGACTGTGGATGGTGCAACGAGTTTGCAAGGCTGGGGCTGGGGGTACTGGACCTGGGGTTTGGTGGGGATGGGGTGCAGCGGCTGACCGGAGTGGTGGCCGAGACTGTCACAGGGAGATGCAGTGGGGAGGGCGCATGCATGGGGCATTCAGCGACGTCCATGGAGGTTCACAGGGGCTAGAACGCTTGAGGTGGTGGTTGGGGCGGGGGTGGTGCATTGATTGTGGTGAGGGGTGGGGCAGTGACTGTGGTGCAGGGTCAGTGTGGAGGCGGCTGAGGGCTTGGAGGGGGCTGGGGAGTTGGCTGGGGGCTGGGGAGGTGGCTGGGGGATGGGGAGTTAAGTCGGGGATGGGGCGGCGGCCGAGTGTGGTGGTGACGTCAGTGTGGCATGTGACTATGGCTGAATAATTGTGGTCAGTGGGTCGGCAGTCATAATGACCAGTCACTATGGCCGGTGGGCAGGCAGTCAGGGTGACTGGAGTCACTGTGGCGGCAGAGTCACTATGATGGCGGAGTCACTGTGACGACGAGTCACTGTGGCGGTGGGTCACTGTGACGGTGAATTCACTTTGATCGAAGTCACTTTGCACTGTAGGGTTTAATTGTGAATTTGTGATGTTTGGTCACATTTTTGGAATTTTGAGAAAGATGTCACATTTTGTTTTTTTCCTTTTTTAATAATATCTAGGCCAAAAGGCCTGTATTTAATTGAATTTATTTTAGACTCAATAAATTCTTTCCCATTCCAAAGATAAAAAAACCCTAATCATTTTGGTGAGTATATATAGAGCTATCTTCCTGTCAATTTTTCTCAATAAACTGAATTTTAATACCCAGAGTATATGATGGGTTTATGCAAGGGAAAAACATAAAGGATGAAGTCCTTATTTCCGATGAGATTTTGCATATATGGTGAGGACAAGAAATTGAGAGCTTCAAATGTTGCAATAAAGTTTGGTATGACAAAAGATTATTGAAGATTATTGAGGACAAGAAATTGAGAGCTTCAAATGTTGCAATAAAGTTTGAGAATTCCTTGATCCTTCAATAATTAAAAGATTATTTGGAGTTGATCAAATATTATGAACTCTAGTAATTTGTCATATGAAGGATACTTTCGTGTTCGTTCTTGTGAATGGTGTACCTCAAGGGTTTTCAACCATCTCGGGAGTTCACAAGGGAATCTTTAATTTTCTATTCAACCAATAAGTTCACGCAAAAATTATAGTACCATTTTATATTATCTTAGCTTTGAGATTATTTTATAAAAATTGTCAGTTATGTTTTACGCAATAATATGTAAGATTTTTTTTATTATTAAAGTTCTAGTTAAAACTTAAAGTAAATAATCAATAAATAATTCAATTAAGTATTTAGTTTGCATATAAAAGTTAACTTCGATATTAATATGTATTTCTAACACAAAGAAGGGTATAGTTGCGAAAAAGTCGAAATCTTTTTTTGGAGATACAAAATTGGAAGGATTTGTGATTTTCATGATAGTTAAAAAATATTTAAAGTTTTTTCTAAAATATCACTGAAATAAAATATATGGATAAAAATATGACTAAGTTATTATAGGGGGAAGATTACATGCAAACCCCTCTTCCGGTGCAAACTACAAACCAATCTGGGTTGTTCACTTGCAATAAATGGAGGGTGATCTGTCTGCAGTGCATAGTAATAGAGGTAGACTCTGATGCACAAAATTGTTTAATAAATTCCCACTACACCACATCCGTTATTTCCAATGTTATTACAGTAAATTGCAAAATAAATCTCAGGCCTCGCTTCTTATATTAGAAACGAGTAAATTACACAATCCCTAATTCTACGTTAACCATCTCAATGGAAGAATCAAGACCCAATGGAAGTTGATCGTCAAGATACACTACAAGAAACTTTTCTCTAATGAAAGGCAATACCGTGGCTAAAGACTCAAATCCCATCATAAAAAAGATTTAATGACGGGAAATATACTTGTAGGCTGGTGCATGGCTTTTAGAATAAAATTTCTTGTGAAGAATCAAGACCCAATATTAGTATAAACAGTGGCTTTTTTGGAAGAAGAAAATATGAAGAGGAAAATCTCAGGAAGCTTGAGGATGGTGACAGATGAAATTCATTGTAAACTTGACAAAGTGCATGTGTGAGCTTGAAACTGCTATGTAATAAATGTTGAGGATTCTTTGCTGCAAGCGGTTGAAACATAGAAATAGTGGCTTGTGATAGAGATGGAGATGAAGTGAAATTTTAAAATGGACATAGTAGAGAATTGAGTTTGATTATAAACTTACAGTTGGAAAAGAAGTAGTTTGAGTAAGGGCGTAGGATGTTGATCGATGAAAATGGCGATGAAATCAAGCTTTGATGGAATGGTGTAACTGGTTGATTGAAGAATATATGAAGACGCAATCGGAGATGGAGATGGAGACATGGATTCCGGTATCGCCCTAAAATTAAGCTTTGATGAAAGAAGATCGTCGAGCGTGCAAGAAAGGAAATACCGAATGAGATTAGTTATGTGAGTAAACGTGATTTAATTTCCAAATATAAAATAAATATAAAAGATTAATAAGCCCTCAACTGACTAATCTAATTGAGATGAAAGACACGGATGATCAACTAAAATAGAGGGCTAGGATTAGGTTTGTAGGTTAGCATATTAAGATGAGTTTGCATTTGATCTCTTATCTGGTATTATAAGTATACATA